ATTTGGGTAGCGTCACTTTTACTGTTCTTGAGTTATGTCCATTTATAACGTTATATGCTAGCATGGGCATCATTTGTGTACCATGGACACATTCCCCATTTATTTTTCTTCGTGTTTGAAGATATTGATTTGATATTTGGTATATAGTTTTATCATGACCAGTTACAGATCAAATTTGAATTTTAATCGTTCGAGATGATTTTTTTGCAGCATTTGGGTCCTCGGACTTGGAAATGTCACGCAAGTAATCAGTTTTCCGCACTATTTGTGTTATGCTTGAATAAATTGATCTGATGATTGTATGTAGTTTTACCATGACAAGTTACACGTCAAGTTTGAATTTTGTTTGGTTTAGAGGATTATTCTGCTTTTGGTCCTCAGACTTAGAAAATTCACCCATATAATCATTAATGACTATTATGTACCTTTGTTATCTTTGGCCTCTCTTTAAGACAATCATTAAATCAAACCTTGTTGTTTAGACAGAATTTTAACGGCTTCCAATTTCTATGTTGTGAAATACCCACCATTTTATATAGCCAATACTGAGTATTAATTTATACATGAAAAAAATATATACTACCAAAATATGTGAACTCATCTTGCCAAGCATAATAATTAACTTTAAACTTTAATCAAATGTTTTGATTTAGAAGGTTCCGATCTCTTCCATTCGTCAAAATTGACACCATGATGAATTCTTGACTAAGGAAATGAAACTACATTAAACAACAATTAATTTCAATATTGTCAACCTTTCTACATGTTCTAGCTGTTCTTTTGCTCATTCTTTGTATGAAGACTATCAAAAGATATCCCAAATAAATGTGGATAGTGTCCACATGTGGACACAGATGATGCCCCCGGTTGCATATCAAATAGTTATAAAGGGACATAACTGAAGAACGGTAAAAGTGACGCTACCCAAATTTGAACTCGATCTGAGTTTTGTGGTAATAAGTATTGTGTGTAAGTCTCATAACATTTGGTTGGGGCTAACTTTAGTAGAGAACAGAAACAAAAAAAACAGCAATTTTTCTATTTGTAAACACGCATAACTCTAGAACGGTTGTATATAAGTTTTATAACATTTGTTGGAGACAAAATAAAGTTAGAGAACGGAAACGAAAAATTCAGCAATTTTTATGTTTATAAAGGGACATAACTCAAGAATGGTAAAAGTGTTGCCCCCAAATTTCGTACTTAATCTGTATTATGTAGTAATAAGCATTGTGTATAAGTTTCATAACATTTGGTTGAGGCAAACTAAAGATAGAAAACGGAAACAAAAAAATTTGTACTTGATCTTAGTTTTGTGGTACTGAATATTGTGTATAGGTTTCATAATATTTGGTTGGGGCAAACTTAAGTTACAGAATGGAAACTAAAATTTTTGCAATCTTTCGATTTATAAAGGGGCATAACTCAATAATTGTTAAAGTGACACTACCCAAATTCAACTTGATTTGTGTTTTATCACTGGAAGTCAAAATTAAACATTGCATTGTATAAAGCATTGATTGTAGTTGATTCAACTATAATCATGGACAAAGGAAGATATTTCCAATTCTAAAAATTACTTGATATTTAGAAGAAAATAAAAAAATTTCCAATTATAAAGAGTCATAACTCTAGAACGGTTAAAGCCACCAAAATTCACACTCGATCTGTGTTTTGTGGTAATAAGCATTGTGTACAAGTTTCATAACATTTGATTGAGGCAAACTTAAGTTGGACAACGGAAAATAAATATTTTGCAATTTTTCCATTTATAAAGGGGCATTACTCTAGAACGGTTAGAGTGACGCCACCAAAATTCAAACTTGATCTGTGTTTTGTGGTACTGAATATTGCGTATAAGTTTCATAATATTTGGTTGGGGCAAACTTAAGTTACAGAATGGAAACCAAAATTTTTGCAATCTTTCGATTTATAAAGGGGCATAACTCAATAATTGTTAAAGTGACACTACCCAAATTCAACTTGATTTGTGTTTTATCACTGGAAGTCAAAATTATACATTGCATTGTATAAAGCATTGATTGTAGTTGATTCAACTATAATCATGGACAAAGGAAGATATTTCCAATTCTAAAAATTACTTGATATTTAGAAGAAAATAAAAAAATTTCCAATTATAAAGAGTCATAACTCTAGAACGGTTAAAGCCACCAAAATTCACACTCGATCTGTGTTTTGTGGTAATAAGCATTGTGTACAAGTTTCATAACATTTGGTCGAGGCAAACTTAAGTTAGAGAACGGAAACTAAAAACTTTCAATTTTTTTCCATTTATAAAGGGGCATTACTCTAGAACGGTTAGAGTGACGCCACCAAAATTCAAACTCGATCTGTGTTTTGTGTTAATAAGCATTGTGTATAAGTTTCATAACATTTGATTGAGGCAAACTTAAGTTGGACAACGGAAAATAAAAATTTTGCAATTTTTCCATTTATAAAGGGGCATTACTCTAGAACGGTTAAAGTAACGCAACCTTAATTCAAACTTGATCTGTGTTTTGTGGTAATAAGCATTGTGTATAAGTTTCATAACATTTGGTTGAGGCAAACTCAAGTTAGAGAACGGAAACCAATTTTGGGACGTACGTACGTACGTACGTACAGACGGACAAGGGTAAAACTTAATGCATAAAAAAGAAACAATGGCCGTCTTTTCCCTCAGAGCTCTCAAGCTCTTTGATTGCGTTGAAAGGGAGGGGGGAGCAGGAGGATTTTGAAAAGGAATAACTTTGCCTGGTAAGAACTGAAAATAAATGACTTTGTACAAGACAGGATGACAATAGATATTCTGCAACCTAAAATGCAGGATAGTTGAGGATACATATGTGTACGAAAGTGAAAATTAATTTTCTCACGGCAAAGAAAAAAAGCATGCGTAGCAACACTAACAGATAAAAATAACTGACCAGTTCGGAAAGAAAAATAAATCAAGCTGAAAACCATTCCCTCCTTCCGCGAATAAAACAAGCATACGTAGCAACCGATGAAAAATTATCAATTTGGAAAAAATACACCGTACCACCTAACCGCCCCCCCCCCCCCCCCCCCCCCCTTAAATATCAAATGGTCGTCCCCTAATTGACGGTTCTTGACAAGAATTTAAAGGTCACATATATATTCATGTAAATATCGAACAAGTACACTACATGGACACAAAAATCACTTCTAGTGTTTTTGGTCATATATTTCATATGACCTGTTGACACAGAGATATGTCTCGCCTCGCCTGTCTGCATAAAATTTTAAATAAAGCAATCTGTTGGACACCAACATTGCTTATTAATTGAGCCGCTGAACCACAATCTAGTGGGCAGGGCCTGAAAATGGTCGATAAACTGTGATGTACAGACAGTAATGTAACTTTATAGAAAATAATGTTGTCTAGCCGACTGTGCGGTATTGGTTTTTCTCATTGTTCAAGGCCGTACTGTTGCCTATAACTGCTTACATCCACTTATTTTAACTTTAGTAGATAGTCTCATTAGAAATCATACTACATCTCCTTATTTTTATATTAATCAGAAAAACTTAACATTTAAAATTGCTAATTAATTGAAAGTCACTGGACCATGATCTAGGGGGCAGGGTGTCGAAATAGTCGTCAAACTGATATCTCCTGATACATGTTGTAATGCGACTTCATTTAAATATCATTGATCTATCACAAGTAGACCTAACAAAGTAATTTATGCAGAAAACTTAACATTGACCATGCCATAGTGGGCAGTGCCTCAAAACAGTCGTCGAACTGATATGTACTGATAGTATAGCAACTTTAAAAAATATATCATTGGTCTATCCCCATGATCACAAGTAGTTCTTATCAAACTGACTTAAGCAGAAAATATTAACATTGAAAATTGCTAATTAATTCAAAGTCTCTTGACCATGACCTAGGAATATTTATACATGTAGGTGTAAATTTACTGTAAAAGGGCACTTTCCAAGATATGTTAAAAAATATAAGACCGTTATATATGAGTATGTTAAAATTTTGATGATAACAATAATTTCTACAAATTGTATATTTATTTATTTTTTTCTGACTGCAGAATTAGGTTTTGAAACCATTTTTTTTCAAAATTTTGCAAAAGATAATTTTTTGAAAAAATGAAAACTAAGCATTTTGTATCCATGGTAATAACATAAAAAGACATGATTACCCATTATTTTTTCGCGTCTTTAATGAGATCAGACTATGGTATTTATGAATTCGTGGTTGACTTTAATTCAGGTGTCCGCAAAAAAATATGGTGAGCATTCAAAAATGTCCTCAAAAGGGTATTTTTTACCTCATGCAAAACACCTAAAAAGGAGGGTATATGTGATTATGATTGAAAATTGATATAAAAATATAAGTTGTTAATTTACATGATTAAAATGCATTTGTTTCATCAAGTTTAGTAAGTGTGTGCACAAATTTGAAGAAAATTCATGACCATGTGTGCCACACTCCTTATGTAAGAGTTTAAATAGTTGCAGAGAACCAGCACTAGTATTAATAATGTACGTACCAATAACATTTGACAGCTTCGAAAGTTTTAGTAAAGCCATTTACTGGCGCAAAATCGATTACGATTATGATAATGGTTTTTATGAATCTTAGAAAAGCTAATCTTCAATCGAAAACTATACTTCATTGTGAATCATAAGTAATTGGCACTTGGAATTTATATATCCGCTTAATTTCTTGAAAATGAAAAAACCATTGGAAGCGTTTCATCATGTGTATCTTGAAACGTTCGTCCTTATATATAACATATCTTGATCATCAGTACACAGTAGACACCAAATTCGGTTATTCGACAAAAGACATGTTGACCATGCAATTTTGGGTAAGTTCGGCATCTAGAAAGCTACAAATTGAATGTTGATCCATGAACTCAAAATTTAAATTCCTAATTTTAATTTTAATATTGCTAGGGAACATTGCAACACTTCTAGGTTTTACAATTATGGCGTAATATGAATTGAACAAGTTTAATATAAAATATTTACTTACAAGGCATGGCAAAATCTATTAATGATATAATGCCATCAAAACATATATATAATTCATCTATATCTATATCAAAATATTTTTCTATTGTATGGGAACAGACTTTGGTCTAAATGGTCCCTGATTTAATTCAAAGTGAAGTTTAATACAACAAATAAAGGCAACAGTAGTATACCGCTGTTCAATAGTCATCAATCGATTTAATGTAAAAAATTCGGGTCACAAACCAAGACCGAGGAAAACACATCAACTATAAGAGGAAAACAATACTGCCCTACGCATATCGACATAGCTGTAATGTTTGATTATCCTTGTTGATAATTTGAATTTTTTTATGGTTTGTTTAAATGTTACATCATATCTTCCATGTCTGCAAGTGGATGTCGTATATCAACAGGCACTATTCCATATTGATCCTGAAGTGCTTGTCTGACAGTTGGTGTCAGAAAAGCCGGCATTACTGGGCCTAATCTAATATTCTTGACGCCAAGACTCAATAAACTAAGAAGAACTGCTACTGCTTTCTGTTCAAACCATGATAAGGACAGAGACAAAGGCAAACTGTTAATGTCAGTATCGAGTGCTGACGCCAGTGCCTTTGCCACCATTATTGCACCATAGCTGTCATTACACTGTCCAAGGTCAAGAAGTCGTGGGATTCCTGTATTTCCCAGTGTTCCATACTCTTTATCATTAATTCTATATTTAGCACAACCCATAGTAAGTATAAGAGTTTCTGGAGGCAATGAGTGTGCCAACGTTTTGAAGTAGTTGCGTTTGTGCTCAGAACCGTCACATCCACCAATGACAAATATTCTCTTTAGATCCCCATCAGCTACTGCTTGGAGAACCTAAAACAAGATCATTGCGAAATTAGACAATAACACCTTTCAATTGAGAAGTGGCCATATGTAGTAATATTTTCTTGTAACCTTCTGTTCGTTTGTTCGTTGCATTCTTACCATAGACTTATATATAGTGCGCTTTCCATTTTTCTGTTTGGCGTTCACAGATACATAGGTTAAACATATTTTATTGCTAAAGTATAACAAAGGAACTGGGACACAAGTTATCACAACTTACAAAGTTCATTTTCCGAACCACATAAATAGACTGTGTATATATATTCAACTATAATCATGTGAAAACAATACAACTGCAGAAACTGAATCTCTTAAATATGTACACATGCATAATAAGAAGCAAATTTATGGAGTTTTTGTTTTAATAAAATTTTAAATATCAAGGTATATGTAAATTATCAGAAATTTTTTCTTCATTATATCACTAGTGCATCATCATGGAAAAACGTATCAACTGGAATATATCATTATCTTACCTCTAATACATTTCAATGAATATCATTGGTTAAAAGAGAACACGTGGAGACACTGTATATTTAAAAATTGGTTAGTGGGCGTGTTTTATCTTAATACACGGTTAGTAGTAGTGTACGTCCCTTTATAAAAACAACATGAAGTTGAAGAAAAATCTGAAACGTTTCGCCCAAACAACAGATGAAGAAATTGATGACAAATGATTGAAAATATATGCAGAAAACACATTAAAGGCTAAAAAATTGTTATTTCTGGCATTTATTTTTGTATAAACCAATGAAAGAAGGTTCTTGATATTGAAGACGGTCACTTTAATAGGCCATTAGTCTGAATTCCACCATATGACATTTACTGACCACGTATATATCGTATTATGTCACTAGCACACTGTGCAACTTATTATGTGATGTCATCATTGATATCTATTACATGACGTCAGTTCCACGTGGAATTTCTTGGGGTATGTGCAAAGATTAAATGAGCAAACGTTTTTTTAACAATTCCGAAATTATTAAAACTAATCGCATCCTGTACGGCATGGGTTTTGCTCATTATTCAAGGACGTATGGTGACCTGTATTCTTTACATCTTCGTCCTTTTTTCTCAGATAGACAGTTATCTCTGTGGCGATCATATCAACTTTTTTTCATCTTGATATCACGAGTATCTTGGATTACAGTGATGCATAGGTATTTTTTTTTAGACAGTTGTATGAGCAAAAGCCTGCCTCTTCTTCTTCAAACAATAGTTAAAAAGATTCAGCCCGTTCTGGTTGTGTTTCCACATTAGACTTATTAGAGGCAGTATCTAATGTTTTACGCAAATAGGTTGACATGCCGTTTTTTTTCCAGGATATAGTATAATCTGAATGTAAAATACAAATGAAAAGTTTAACGATAAGTATGAAATCAACTAATTGACCATTTAATTATTACCCAACAAACAATGTCAGGCAAATGTTAGTTTCTTTTGTTGCCTGTTCTGACATTGGACTTGGACTTCTTTTAAACTGAGTTTTACTGGCTAGAGGTATAGGGGGAGGGTTGAGATCTCACAAAACATGTTTAACCCCGCCGCATTTTTGCGCCTGTCCCAGTGAATGTTTTCACATGTAGATCTTTAAAGAAAACCCTTCGAAATATATAAATAGTTAATTGGTTGTTGTTTGCTTAACAACCAGAACAAATATTTCATGGCATTCCGGACGAGATCAAATTAAACAGCAAATTCTTGAAAGCAAGCCGACCGAGTCAAGGTCAGAAATTTGACCCTCCACGCGAAAAAGAGGTATGTTTAAAAGGCACAGAAAAGAAGAATTTCGATAGACTACAAACGAAGAGTTACGGCATGGGTCTTTTAACCTGCAGAGTACGGCAATTTCCAAACACAAGCATCGGATTTTGTATTGAAATCAATGAAACGTAAATCTGGCGTTCTAAATTAAAAGCCTGGTTTTTTTTTGGTGAGTTTGAATGTACAAATTCTGAACGGACGTGGCTGTGTCTTTATGCATTCCACACAATATATAAATATATTATGACTATAGGTAATATCTGAAAGACAAATATTGACAATACTGATTTAATACTAATTGCTAAACCATATGAAATGATGTAAACATATCAGTAAAAAATAAAACAATCCAAACTGTACACAACTCACTTTATCAGCATTATCTAAGATAACCTCCCTTCCAAAACCGACAGTAAATGTGTTCTTATCAAACTTTTGAATTGTCTTTTCATCGAATCCTGGAAGTGATTTGGCATGCTGAAAATGAAGATGTATGATATTTAATTTCATTGTAGGGTTCCTCTTTCCCACGCCGATCTTACACTTATAAAATCGAATATTCGCATTCCTTTGTTGAAACAAAAGGATTTGAGTCTATTATATTCATTTCAAAAGACTGTGTTTAATTTCTATTATATTTTTTTTTCAAAGAAAACATTTGTTCCAAAATGTATTTCATTGTAGATCTCTTCCTACCAACACCGCACTTACACTTTTAAAATTTATAATTCGCATCCCTTTGTTTAAAAAAGGGATGTGAGTCTTTAGTTAGGTGTTCATCTATTTCAATATACTGTGTTTAATTTCTTTCATTGTTATTTAAAGAGAACTATTTGTTCCGAACAACAAACAGTAGAGGACCTTGCATGTATTATGTATCCATTAAAGCCAAGCCAGATCATACGGCCCTTTAATGCTATAGCAGAGAGTTGAACTAGGTTTTCGGAAAGGTAGCATTGGCCACAAATTGCACTAATTGTTTACAATATTTTCTCCAGGGACTTCTGACGCATTCAGTAGAATGATCAAGTTATTTTGATATATTATGTTTGGTTTCTATTCTATCAATGACCAAAATGACCATAACTACAGTACTGGCATGATGTTAATGGTACATTATAAATACATTATTAATGAAATCGTTCAGTTTATAAACCATGGTGTCGTATTAAAACTTCCTCACACAAAGTTAACCTTTTGATTGTTCTTTTAAAGTTCTTCTTGATTGTGGTGCTTCCTACATTTTCAGTATTAATTTCTCAAACGTCAGGTCAGGTTCAGGTCACGAGATATCTGATAATAGTTATTTCACAAAACGTGTCGTGTAATTGAAATTGAAATTGCTATACATTTGTGAAAATCTGGTAAAATCAACTCTACACAGACAAAATTTGCTCACGTGAATTTTACATGATGCTCGCATGAAATTCACGTGAATAATTTCACGTGAAAAAAAATTCATGTGATTTTCACGTGAAATTCACGTGAGATTCACATGAACTGATTTCACGTGAGTTTTACGTATAAGCTCGTTTGAGGTGAAATTTACGTGAATTTCACGTGAGATTCACATAAATTTAGGTTCACGTGAAATTGATGTGAGTGAAATTTGCCTGTATATGGAGCAAATTGGTTTCACTGAACCAAATTGTTACTTCACTGGGCCCTTTTTTACTTTTTTTATTCGAGCGTCACTAATGAGTCTCGTGAAGACGAAACGCTCGTCTGGCGTACCAAATTATAATACTGGTATCTGTGATGAGTTTACTATATCTAACTTTAGTCAACGCGACCTCAGTGTCCAAATGACGTCAACATCAATCAGGACATGCAAACCAGCTGCATTTTCTTAAATGCGATATAATTGGGGGTTTTTTTTTTTGTTTGTTTTTGTTCAATTGGTTCATCGTGCTCATAAACGATTTTTTGGCATTTCATTTTTTTGTAAACATATAGACGTAATGAACGCCTAAATGATTAGAAAGCAACCGCGTCGACAGAGTATGTATTCCTTGTTATGAATGCCTCACTTTCCTTTTCAAAGGAGATGTTATCTGTTATTTACGGATGTGCTTGTAATTTTGACTTTTAAAAATCTTTTAAAAAGACTGTGAATAATTTAATTATTCGTTGCAAAAAAAAAAACGTAACGCAATTGTTAAATTTTCATTGTCTGTGACGTTGTTTGTCAATTACACATTTTGGTGAGCTCTTTTAATAATATTAGAACATAAAATGTACTACATTATGATACGGCAAAATATATTAAGGTATCTTACGAAATCTCGATATCTTGCACACTCTTAGGTACACTTGTAGCCAATACTCGCGACAGTAATGAAAATATAAATTCGTATTAAGCTTACGTTTATCAGTTGTGACATGTCTTGTTTATTTTCCAAATTGATATGTTTAACTCCATGGATTCCTGTCTCGTTCAAAGTATACAATCTATCTCTGTAGGACTTCAAAGGCTCGGTAACACAATTTGTTGTTATGACAACTGGTCCTGGAAACATTCCAAATTCAATCTTCTGGTTCTGCCATGCACTACCAAACTGACCAACCAGATTCTACAAAGTAGAGATGAAATATACTTCAGAAAAAGTTTTTAAAGTCGACGTTTTGTAACATATTTAAGTTTATACAAGTCTACTTCAATTTTAAATGCATAGACAAAATTCGAATGACGAAATTTCTAAATTAAATAATACAATATGTATCTTCAGATAGTCTAACATGTATATAATGTAATTGGTCAATCTAGAAAATATATGTATCTTAATTGATATATTTCTGCATAACAAACAGTATTATCATTCCTGGTTGTTAAAGGTCGTACGGTGACATTTTGGTTTTAGAAAAAATTAAAATGCCGACGCGAAGGAATCAAAAGCACAAGCTCGCGATAGTCAAAAAAACACCACAAAAAATAATCCTGAGCAAGATGAATCCCACCAAAACGTGGATAACTTCAAGTGTATGATGAATAGGCAGTTCCAGCTCTACTCTTTAAACCTGTCATGCTACATATAAGAGGTAAAAATAGTTTTCTCATTTTTTGAATAAGTGTCTTTTTTTTTATATTTGTCAGTACCTTGAACTCTCTCAATTTAGGATAGCTGTGTGCTGGTAACATCTCTCCGTGAGTGTAGACATTTATTCCTTCATTTTCAGTATGCTTCAGTATTAAATATAGATCCATCAGGTCATGTCCTGAAACCATTATACACTACAATATAGATGTAAACAATATTTCTTGTATGTGCATTGTAATGCATGCATGTATATAGCTTAGTATATAGCTGTATACGTTATTTTATTTGGCGGCATTTTGTCCAAGGTTATGGTTGTCTTTCTGATATTCTTTTACATCTTACCCTTTTGTTTTATTAATTTTGTATTTACATTGTGTCATTGATCAAATTTATTCGTTCAGTGTATGTTCACTTGTTTTTGTTAATATATTTTTTGATTGAGTTAAGCCATTTCAATTAATATTTTATAGTGTGTCTTTCTATGTTGTGATGTTACACTATTGTTTCAGGGTCGGGTGAAGGTTGTCGCCTATTAAAACGTTTAAACCCGCTGGATTTGTTTGCACCTGTCCTAAGTCAGGAACCTGATGTTAAGCGGTTGTCGTTTGTTGATGTGGTTCATAAGTGTTTCTCGTTTATCGTTTTTTTATATGGATTAGACCGTTGGTTTTCCTGTTTGAATGGTTTTACACTAGTAATTTTTGGGGCCCTTTATAGCTTGCTGTGTTGAAGGCCGTACTTTGACCTATAATGGTTTACTTTTACAAATTGTGACTTGGATGGAGAGATGTCTCAATGGCACTCATACCACATCTTCTTATATCTATAGGCTCATAAATACAATATAATATCTTATTGAATCGCATAGGAAAATATGGGTGTAAAACACCGAAGTTTAAATGCTATTTTATCAAGGCAGCTTATCTGTAATTATCTAACTTGCCTTTTACCTTACTGCTTTAATACTAAAAATAGTAAGAAGTTGGTTATTGTCATTAAAATTGATAAAGAAGTAAATTTAAAATCAATACGCGAAAGCATGAAATGTAGGCTGTAATGATGACATTGTATTTAATTTGGGTTGTTATATCTTAGTAGCTGAATCCAACAATTTGCTATCTTAGTTAAAGAAGCAAAAGTGAAGAAAAATAAAGTTAAATTATATCGAACTCAGTGAAGGTCAAGGTGGCCTACGTCTGAAATATCTGACTCAATGTGTCATAGCAGCACGTTACATTACTTCATATAAGAACACGACATTAATAGTTTAAGTCAATGTATACTGGTCAACAAAAGCAACGACACAGGACAATATATTTCCCAAATATAACGAAATTAGTATATATCAAGGTACCAAGCTACAAAAAATGTTCAAAAGGGATAATGCATACAGGGTGTTTTTTCTCGTCAAAACCATGGATTTGTAGCAATAAACGGGATTTTTTAAATTCTCAATAATTGATTTTTAAAAATAGTTGTTTTAACCAAAAAATTTATAATCCTATATTTGAATTTAACAAAAATTAGGAAGGCAAATCCAGAAGAGCTCTTTGGACGTGCGAAAATAATAGTGTTAATTTCGTTACAATAATTTTTTATGCTCTTTCTAGCTTGCTCAAGTTTCTGTCTTATTGGGAAGTAATAAAAGAAAAGAGTGTACCTTTCCTGCGACAGGTGCTCTATTAACTGTTGATGGAGACGGTATACCAAGCTGCTTCCGGTGACCTTTATCTAAAAGCTCCATGACTCGAAGGTTTATTTCTCCAACTTTCAGAGCAAGTTTGAGATTCGTAGTCAGATCATGGCGCTCTTCTTCCGTTCCACTAGTCAAGAAGTCCAATATCTAAATAGCAAATTTCATCAGACATCATCATTTTAACAGAAAAACCCGAGTTGAAACAAAATTTAAACCTTCTGTTTATTACGTCTTCCTCGTTGATGCTATATAAAAGTTGTCATTGAAATTTTCACTTGTAGAGCTTTGTTGAAGAATAAATTTCCCTTAATAAAACATATTCATTATTACAAAAATTAAACCTCTGGTTTTTTTCTGCTTTTTCTTTTTATTTCGTTGGTCATTTCATTACAGTAAGCAATTTCACATTTTCGAGTAAATTTTTCAAGTGTGACTGTTTTTTTTAACTTTGTTATTTTAAATTCACTTCCCAAAAATGTTCGAACGAACAATGTAAGGATTTCAATTTTTTTAACTTAATATAAAATTTAAAATAATATGTTGGTTTTTTTTAATCGGACTTTTGGCTTATTATCCAACACTGATAAATAAAGATTAGCTATTCAACTATATACCTCGTATAATGAAGTTGAAACCTCCGGATCTTGTTCCCCAAGAGCATTAGCATGACAAGCGTATGCCGATAATCCTTTAATTCCATAAATGGTCATGTAACGAACACCATTCACGTCTTTACCATAAATGCTCTGATTTTCTAATACACCTACTTTAAGACCTATATTTACATAGTAAACAAAATAAGATATAACAGTTGTATAGATAAGTCGGTAATAATTCATTCATGATCAGCACCACCCAATCTGTATAGAGATTATTCATATAAAGTATTAAAAATATAGTAATCAAAGATTAGCTTATATACTACTAGGGGGCGTTTAACGACATTGACTACCCATGAGGGTCTCGCACGGTCGATGCTGCTTAAATAGTATTTATTATTGAAGACACGCGTTTCGTCTACATATGATATTAAAAGCAGAAAATTCCGAAAAATTGTGCCAAAAGACATAATGGGAAAATTAAACATAGAAGTCAAATATGGGATTCGAAAACGTGTTTTGAAAAAAATCGTTGATAAATCCGTCTTCCGATTGACCAAAGATTGACACAGAGTATTACTTAATACAGATATTTTATGATTTTAAGGAGCAATCAAGAAACATTAACCTTGGTTAACTGGTGTGTTATTGATGACTGCTCTACTTTAAACCGCAAATACGTGCATAATTATTCTTTACGATGGCATTTTAATATCGGACGAATCAAACTGCTTTGTATTATTATTTGTGTTAAATTAGACTACGATTTGTTAAAGCTACGGAGTTTCTTGTGTGGTACCAGCTCAAAGAACATTGTTGGAGTTCTTCGGCACGCTGCGGACTGAGTCGGACTTTTAAAATGCAGCATAAATTGTAACAGGGCTAGGCCACAGGGTGGAATATCACCCTTCCTTGAGCTTTTTCATGGGTCATCAAGCCAACAACTTTTTGTTCTTATTTCTAATCGTAATTACCGAGTTTTCAGTGGAGCAGCAGTAATAATACCAAAGTTTAAAGCAACTAGTTTAGCCTAGCCGGGATTCCAACCTAACCCTCCCTTACTTGAGCCGAGCATGTCACAACGAGACCACCGAGCCGTTTCGTTTGTTTGATACTAACTTAAAGTCTTTTTCTTAATTACCATATAGCACATCTTTAATTTCATCCAGTGAACACATCTTATGTTAACATGATTTTCTTTTACAAGAGTAATTTGGTCGTGGTACCAAAACCCACGCCGCAAAAAAAAACCTTAGTTCTTATCTAATCGTAAACAGGTATCATTACTTATTATACATGTGGTATCTACCTTCGTCTTCTAAATATGTCAGATCATATGATTCTGGTACCCAGCTAGCAGGACCATGTTTGAGTTCTTCGTCAAGTGGTTGTGAGGTATTTTCCTCCATAACTTTCTTGATGGCATCGCGATGGCTGATTGCAGTTTTGATATATTCCGGAAAGCGATCCTGATCAAAATTTACGTTTGTCATTGTGCTGTGAAATAAGAGCAAATTTTATTCTCAAGCAGACAAAAAGTAGTTTAATATAAAAAAAAATTATACTAGCTTAAGATATATATCCCCACAGTAGTGTAAAAGTATTGCTTCATCGACGGCAATATTTGATATCCAGAACTTAGGAGACATACATTTTAAAAATTGCTTTATACGGGTATTAATTTTAAATCAGTTATATTTAGCAAAAATAAATATAGTTCATATTTATTCACTGTACGTATGACCTTTTATAGTAATCCATAACATCATCGGAAGCGATTTATCATCACTTTATACATACATTTAACATAAAGTTGTAATCATTTGATATTTCATATTTTTTGTCACCCTTATTTTCTGGTGATATTCAAAATTTACAATTTGATAGAACATGTACCACTATGCTGAGTAATTATCAGATCTAGATACCTGTAACAGTCAAAAAACATTGTGAAATATTGAGATATATGTAGCTCGAGGTCACAGCCAGAAAACAGTGTGTAATATCGAGATACTTCTTGTTTGTAATAGTGTAATAGTCTTAGTTCACACTATCTACATTTTGTATGTGGCAACTGGTAATTATCATCATAATCCGGGTTCAAGTTAACCCATTTCAATTGATATTTTATAGTGTGTCTTTTTACGTTGTAATGTTACACTACTGTCTCGGGTTAGGGTGAAGGTTTGCGCCTATTAAAACGTTTATACCAGCTGTATTTGTATGCGCCTGTCCTAAGTCAGGAACCTGTTGTTCAGTGGTTGTCGATTGTTGGTGGGGTTGATATGTGTTTATCTTTTTTGTATAGATTTGATCATTGGTTTTCCTGTTTTAATTGTTTCACACTAGTCATTTTAGGGCCCATTATAGCTTGATGTTCGATGTGAACCTAGGCTCCATGTTGAAGGCCGTACTTTGACTTGTTAATTGTTAACTTTTTATATACGTTATGACCTGGTTGGAGAGTTGTCTCATTGGCACTCATCATGTCCACATCTTCTTAATTATATCAAGGTAGTAATTATTGAAGCAGACGAGAAATCACAATAAAGTAAACCGATATAAACTGTTAGAGTAATGTGTTAAACGGTTGTATTACACGTGTTACAATTTCTGGATTCAGTAATCAATTAAAGTTAAGTTTCATGAACGTTCGAGTTCATTTTATAGATTTATCTTCATCAGAAATAAAAACCCACAAGTTTAGAAAGCCCTAGACCAACATATAATCCCGGTGAACGCCATTCTAGGTAAGGCTAAAAATGGGTTGATTCTAATTCATTATCTAAGAATGTTTACTTGACAATTTTCTTCAAAAAAGTTTTTGTGAAGAAGTGATCAAGTAATTCTAATGCAACATCGCTTGTAACGTTCATTTTGATTGGATAACGTCACCAATTTTCATGGCATCAATTCACAATTGAAAATGTACGAGCAAGCGCAGACGGTATGGCAGATTTTAAATGCATGATTTGACGTTGTTTTCTGTCAGTTTCATTAGAATGGAGACAACAAATTTAATACAGTTATCTCCTAAGTGATACAGGGAAATGCTCTTTCAGAATGATTCAACTGCGTGTCAGTTATGAGGGTCTGGGTGGTGGATCTTCATTTTTGTATTCTATAATTTTTAAGCCATTTTCTCTATTCAAATTTGTTTGCCCGTTATTCTCTAATCTTTATATTTTAGCACCCCATTATTCTTTTTTCTTCACTATTTTATCATTTTTTTCTCTATTCTTTATTATTATTATGGCCAATCCTTCTCTATTTTGTAAATCTCCATAACCAATGTTCAGTTTAGAACAAAATCATCCTTGAGTTAAAAAAAATATCAAAATCATTCAAAATGGCCCAAAATGTATTTAACCGGAAATTTTTCTACTCTGTGTACATGTATTATTGTATATCTTCTTCAAAAATATGATATGTACCTAAACATAGCTTGCTGTATAAATAGGTCGCATTCTTTCGACATAGTAATGCCTGATTTAATAGCTCTGTTGGCATACATGGATAAACCCTGCACAGCATACATTAGTAGATCTTGGAGTGCAGACACTTGTGATGCCTTACCACATACACCTACAGTTACACACCCTTTCCGGCTTTTGGTCTGCTCGCACTGGAAACAAAACATGTCTGAAAAAATAGTACAAATACAACAATAAAGAGATGGTTAAGCATATATCCGGGTATAGTTACCGTGTTAAGAAAATGTGTTTTTACTGCATGACTTGTATATTTTTATTTCCATTTTCGTTGAAATGATTATGTCCAACAATACATATTAGAGCACTTATCAAACATCATACCTAAACGATTTTGTTGGCTATCAAAAACTTATAGATTTGTTTAAATATATGGGAAAAACTTCCTTTTTAGACCCCTCTCTATTGACTCATACATGAAAAAGGGGTTCAAAAGGAAGTTTTGCGAATATATGTATTATTGGTAATGTTACAATCCAATATACATGTATGGTTTTATTAAACACGTGTCCTGTAGGAAATATGTGAGCCATTGTCATCACTTGGTGTCTGTCCTTTAACTTTTTTTTGATCTTTTCTGAAACAAAATCTGTATTAAAGTTAAAATTGAAAATATTCAGCAAAAATATTTTGTTTACCAAAAATATGTTTTCAGTGGAGACGATCTGATTTTTATTTCATATAATAATTGGTAACTGTCATATAGAATTATCTGTACTTGAAACTTAACGAAAATATTAACTACACAATTAATTGTAGATGTTTCGGGGTATCTTTTATTTTAAGTTAAGAGCTCTTCTTCTTGTATTTTTCAAATTACGAAATCTTCAAGGATTAAGTGACTCAAGTAGGTGAGTGAAAAACTTATTGTCAAGTCATGGTACAAAATTTGGCCTTGTCGAAGTAAATGACAATCTCGGCACGTATTCAATAAATGTTGATATCTTTAAGTAAAGAATCGATAAATCACTTAATAATCTCCATATCCACTGTATTAGATAAGCTCACTAGGAAATTCCAGTAAAAAATGAACTTTTATTTGAAGCCCAACATGCAACATGATTAAGCAATGATATTAATTGACGTATTACATCACCCTATGCTGCATATATTTAACTTAAGTACTTTATGGAAAGGGCTTTGTAAGATGAATAGGTTATCTGATTTAACAGTTCTGCGTTTAATTTAATGGTATTTTAATTGATCTACCCGGATGTTTATTTGATAAAATGCATCCAACCAGAATGCAGTTAGCATTTAAATTATAATTCTCTTTTTTATCATCCCAACCTTCCATGTCGTAACAGTTTGATTATCACTTGGTGCAATAATTTAATTTATATTTAATACACTTTCACAAACTTAATGTACATAGGCAGAGGGACACTAGGGTATTTATTTTGATTTTATAAATTTTAGTTTTGTTTTATAATCAAGTCTTATTATTTTCTGCTTTATATATTTTCTTTCATTTTCAACAATTGCCATTTCAATAAACTTAAAACTGGTTCTCACTGACTAGTATAAAATAGAATAGAATAGAATAGAACATTTTTAAGAGTCGATAAAGGACATAAAAATCAGTTACAATTAATTGACACAATTGATAACTACTATACTTTGAGCGTAGAATTAAAAACAAACGGATTCCAGTTTGAGTATAAGAACATGAAATTCTAGTGACCAAAACCAGGTCACACAAAAACTTTAATTTCGAATAAGATGATTTTTTTCCGATTCAGTTTCTCCTATACCCAAAGTATATTTATCAAACAAACGGGCGTATTGTATTTCTTTAAGAGTTTTCTAACCTATATTGCGTCAAGTTGATATCAAATATTTTACACAATTGTACACTGCTTAACTACACTTTTTATATATTTTTATCTCTTAATGGATCAGAATAGCGACTGCTTCTGTCTTGTAACGATGCTAAAAACAGGGACAATTCGATTTTACATAAAAGCGAATTATTTATTTATATAACTAATATTCAATAAGTACCTACCAGGTTTGACAAAATCTGAAGTCGCAGCAGCAGCAGTTGCAAGCTTTCGAACATTATGACTATAGTTCTTTGACAATTTGGTTCCAGTGAAGTTCCATGCAGAAGAGCAGTATGCGCTGTTTATCCATTTGTTCCATCCAGATAGAACACTTCTTCTTAACATGACACTCATTTTATAATATTTAATCAAACACTCGTTTAATTCACTTTATAGGTAACACTGCGCGGAGTCATAAAAACATTGTTTACACTGATAAAAAAAGGTATTTTTACTTGACCTTGTTTGCCATGCGTAGAACATTATAGAATAAGATATCGACGAGGATGAATTAGCATAATGATGTTTACCATCGCTAGAAACAAAAATAAAGCCACAAAAATGCAGTTTTAATTTTCAACAAAAACATATCATGGAGATGAATTGCTCTGCATGTGTACAATATAGGGTTTTCTTGACTTAAAACATATTGCAGTTCCTAGCTAAGACACAATATTAAAAATATAAATCAGTAGGTCAGAGATTGTAAACATGAAGTTTAAAACAATCAATATTTGTACAACTTATGTACGTGACCTAAGTCATGCGTATTATTTTTAAATGAACTATTTTGTTTAAAATTATCATTTATTCATGATTCATTTAAGAATGTGTGTATTCACACTGAATCAGATACAATTACATATATTTAGGGAAATTGTAACTAAAACGTATTACATATAAAATGTCCTTATCCTCTTTTTCTTAGTGTCGCCTTTGCAAAAAATATTAGAACTATCTAAAAATACTGAAGGAAATGTGGTATTATTGCAAATCAATCAGAGTTCAAATGCAGTGGATATAAGCAAGTTTAGACTACAGTACGGCATTCAACAAGGGGGGAAAATATACCGTCTAGTCGGATATAAAAGGTCCAATCATGAAAAATTTGTGACAATTCAAAAGGGAAAAACTAACGGCCTATTTATAACAAAACAACAAAAATGACTGAAATCAACCGGCGACAAGAACTGAACTACATGCTCCTGACTCTGTACAGGCACATGAAGAATGTGGGTGGGGGGGAGGTTAAACATGTTTATGAGCACTGAACCCTCACCTACCTGGGACAGTGGGGTAGCAACACACCATAAGAACTCAATCGATCGGTACGAGGCACAAAATCAACTAACCAAAGGCAATTGACAAAAAGCGCCTATATATATGAAAATATATACAAGAACATCGCAGTTACTAAACACTAGTTCAAAGCCACCAACTACATATTATAAATAAATCATGTTCTCCCAGACTAAAGTACCAATCAGCACATTTGTTCTTGTAAGAATCTACCTTATTTTGATTTCGTATGGTAAATGTCTTGGTGGCAAACATATACTATATCTCCTTATCGTATATTGCATTGTATGGCCCAACATGCAATTTAAAAGTTGTAGAACAATATTGGGGTCAATTATTCAGGACCCTTTAGTGTGTGCATGTGCACAGAAAATTGTTGTTTGGTCTATTTGCGGTTTATGGTTTTCGTTTGACATGACTTCCTTGGTTTATTTGTATTTGTAAGTGTGTGAGATCACACCCCCCCCCCCCTTTCCACCACAAAAACAAAAACAAAAACAAAAAAACAAAGCTTTTTTGGCATTAAGAAATTCTTTCAAAACCGGAAGTAATATATGGTGCTCCGTAATGGTGAGCACAACTATCCTGTTTTGCATGTGACGGTCGTCATATTTGATGAGACTGTTAAATTTTCTCTTTTCTCAAAGATCCTAAATCGAAGACACTGAAAATTACAACAAATTTAAAATGAGTAACCATAAAGAGCAGTGTCTATAGATATAGGATGATGTGGTATGAGTGCCAATGAGACAACTTTCCATCCAAGTTACAATTTATAAAAGTAAACCATTATAGGTCTTCAACACGGAGCATTGGCTCACACCGAACAACAAGCTATAAAGGGCCCCAAAAAATTACTAGTGTAAAACCATTCAAACGGAAAAACCAACGGTCTACTCTATAAATAAACGAGAAACGAGAAACACGTATGAAATACATAAACAGACGACAACTACTGTAATCAGATTCCTGACTTAGGACAGGTGCAAACATTTGCAGCTGTCCTAAATGCCTGTATAGTGAAAGAAATCCTTCAAAGACATGGCACATGTGGCGTGTCATTTTTTAAAAATCATTTGGGAAATTAGAAATGGTGAATGGTACATAGTCCAAAATTAAGAATTTCAAAGATGTTTACTTACATTTGGCATGCAGGACTGCTTAAACATTAAATAGATATAAGAAGATGTGGTATGAGTGCCAATGAGACAACCCTCCATCCAAGTCACAATTTGTAAAAGTAAACCATTATAGGTCAAAGTACGGCTTGAATATATTTTTATATAGATGACTCGATAAGGTCTGGTTTCTGCACCAATGTTTTAAAATTGATAGAAATAACTAATAATTGAACAACTTCTGACGAGGAACCACAGTAAACATGTGATAAAGAGTTTTAAAACCTAGTCTGTTAACCATTCACTATTATGAGGGCTTAGATGTGGAGGTCTTTTTGTCTTTATTTTTTTACCATTTTTTACCATTTTTTTTTTTTTATTTATTTCGACCATTAATTTCTATTCCTTATATTTCAGCACCTAATTATTCTCTATTCTTTATTCATTTGGACTTTTTTCTCTATTCTATAAATCATATTCAGATCCTCTATGCTTTGAATCGACTCAAATTTCAAAAAGACATCTACGTTTTTCATAACTGCTGTCTCTGTTCTTCTGACAGCAATCACTTTAATACAGTCCCTGTAATTTGGATGAAGAATATTAGTTATATCTACTATTTTCCAATTTAAGACATAAATACATAAAAAAAACAGACATTTGCTTACATTGCAATTTCTTGAAGAAAAAAAAATTAAACAGATTTTATTTCAGTGTTAAGTTTCGTTGACCGTCGTAGATTTTGATCAAAACATCACACAAAAAAAATCAACAAAAACCAAAGGTATATTTTTGTCAACTTTAAAACGATGGGAGAAAAATATATAGGCCCTAAGCATAACAGTTTCTGTTGGCTTTTTTCTATCGCAAAACATAACGTTTACCTGTAACGGTTACTGTGCGAAAACAGGGTAATCGAGTATAATAATTTTGGGTATATTAAGTTTGTTTTCTTATTCTTTTTGTATTTGCAAGCTTATTGTATATTATATACTAGATTAAACACGAAATGACCATATTTTATCGGCGAGCTGTTTCGTTGACGAATTGTTTTCAATAACGATCTACAGAAAAATAGAGATAGTACCAACACCGTGCGTAGTTATATTATGTACATATATAAAATTGAGAATGGAAATGGGGAATGTATCAAAGAGACAACAACCCGACCATAGAGCAGACAACATCCGAAGGCCACCAATGGGTCTTCAATGCAGCGAGAAACTCCCGCACCCGGAGGCGTCCTTCAGCTAGCCCCTAAACAAATATGTATACTAGTTCAGTGATAATGGACGTCATACTAAACTCCAAATTATACACAAGAAACTAAAATTAAAAATGATACAAGACTAACAAAAGCCAGAGGCTCCTGAGTTGGGACAGGCGCAAAAATGCGGCGGGGTTAATAGATATAAGAAGATGTGGTATGAGTGCCAATGAGACAACTCTCCATCCAAGTCAAAATTTATAAAAGTAAACCATTATAGGTCACAGTACGGTCTTCAACACGGAGCCTTGGCTCACACCGAACAGTAAGCTATAAAGGGCCCCCAAAATTACTAGTGTAAAACCCTTCAAACGGGAAAACCAACATGTTTTTTGAGATCTCAACCCTCCCCCTATACCTCTAGCCAATGTAGAAAAAACAAACGTACAACAGTACGCACAGTAAAAAGAAGTCCGAGTCCTATGTCAGAATAGGAAACAAAAGAAAATAAACAAAATGACAATAATACATAAATAACAACAGACTACTAGCAGCTACTGACATGCCAGCTCCAGACCTCAATTAAACTGATTGAAAGATTATGTCTTCATCATAATTATGAATATCAGGCACAATCCCTCCTGTTAGGGGTTTAGTATTATACCATCATAAAATATATGAGAAGAACATAACCCGTGTCATGCCAACAACTGGTTTTAGAATAAATATGTTTAATTCCGATGCAAAGACCCTATAAGTGAATTAATATTAAAGCCAAAATATGCAATCTTTAATGACCTGACAACAGTATCGTAACTATATCCCTTTTTAATATGCCTACTTTAGATACAATTTACTTTCTTCCTCCCCTAATTGAATTAAAAAAAGTAATTTCAACACCACTCCAGTCAATGAATTCCACCACCATTGTTGTTAAACATGAGATCATGAAAAGTTATCGGTATTAACGTTCCTCTAATAAAAGAATTAAAAACCAGCTACCTCAACTTTTGGATTCATTTTTTGTTGGTCAAAAATATTCATTTACGTCTTTCTTAAATAAAACAATAGAAATATAGATGCCACTACTGCAACAAGTGTGTTACGATATTTCTCCACTCGAGACAGTTAAATTTTGATATTTGTTTTAACTTGAAAGCGCGAGGCTTGCCGAGCTTTTTAAATAATTAAAATTTTCAACTGTTGAGAGTGGAGAAATATCGTAATACACGAGTTATAGTGGTTGAATCTGTTTCTCTAATGATTTTTATCATTCCTTTTGAAAGATTTGCAGAAAGTTATGTTCTGTATAGAGACGTCATCAGGCATGGTCGCCTTTTTTCATCATGACGTCGCAATAGGAAAATTCAGAAGAAAACCAAGAAAAGTTGACGTCATAATTAAATTTGACCAATCATTTGCCGAAAACAGATATTTCACTAGTGAGGAGAAATATTTTTCTCACACCGTTCAAGAAATGTGAAAATAGCACAAAAATTAGAGAAACGACCTTTTCCTCAGAAGAAATTCAAAGTTGAAAAAAAACGACATAGTCACTCAAGTAATCTCGGACTATGAAATGCAGGTATGTACTATCTATTGATGAGAAACGGCCATTACAAATAATTCTAATTTCACAAACTACATAAAAATTAATAAATCTGCAACAACAAAAAATTATATATATTTTTAGTCCGGGTTTTAATGTCCGGTCCGGTTTTTAACTTTCATTATAAGAAATTTCCTTACATCAAATCTTCATTTCTTTCCCATACCCTAACCATCTCCTAAAAAGTGGTCTGCAAACTTCTATAGTGAAGTCACTAGACTAGAGTTGGATTTATTATCTTTTTGTAGAATGGTACGGGTTCCAATTCTGTAGGAGATACATTTAATTTACACATAAATTGTATGATAACTTACAATGTAGATTAAATTTTATTTCAGATGCTACATCGCCTCGATAATTTTGCGGTTGATTCGACAACCGGACGGGTAAAACTAGGCCTAGAGACTTTAAGAAATAAATAACTGCTGTTTCTATGTCACATAAGGAGTAAGTGCAATGACTGAAAGAGTAAAAAAAAATTGAATGAGTTAGGTGTTATGCATACATGTACCTGCCAACCTCTGAAACCTTAAGAGGGAGATCTCCCCCTCATAGGCGAGTGCATTTTTCAATAAGCCTCTTAGTGAAGGACTTTAATGCACCCACCTAACACACGGCTGTATTATATATCATTCGAAAGCTTATTATCCGTACTTTCTGTTTTGCCCGGTCGTTAAAAAATCGTACGGTGCATTTTCTGTTAAATCAAGGTGAAAGGTCAAGAATAAACATTCCAAATTTTTGCAATAATTAAACAAAAAGCCATTTTCTAATTCTTGTACGATAAAATTTTTCAAAAGATCATATGAACCTTATACATGTTATATCATGTATATAAAATGATCAATTAATTCCAAAGCAAACAAAATTTAATAGGTAACTTGTGCAATATTTCCCAAAAATTGAAATTCTTAACAAATCCTAAAAAAATGAAAAAAATGCTCTAATGCAAAATATATCTTGGGAGATCGATATTTGTATGTTCAAATATTAAATAAATGTATGGTATTTAGGTCAAGGAATATTTTTGTTCTAATATTAAGATGCATATATGAACTATTGTTCATGGAACAGCCTTCTATTTACATGTAAGTGTTTGCAGTTACCCAAAGATCTGCCATCTGCGAATAGCGATTATTTAATTCAGATAGCACATCGCTAATTGTCAATATCAGGGAGGAGAATAATTTTCTGTAACATGCGTAATAAAAGAAGAGGTATTTAAAGTTCGAAAAGAAATATACGAGCTAATTGAGGTAAAAATATGTTTATTTGCGAAGTCAAAATTATTTACCTTTTGAAGTCATGTTGAAATGCAAACATAACTTTGCTACTAAATCATTGGCATTTAACATTAAAATAAATAACCATCGTTTGGAAACACTTGATTGTCTTCGGCGTGATATAAACGAACTAGATATAATGCTGCTGATTTTTGTTTGTTTTTTGTTTGAAAACGTGTTAGACATGTTAAATGTGTTAAGAAGTTTAATTATTGGAATGAAAGCTGTTTTGAATGCTCTTAAAACACAAATGCAGGAAATTGTGTATGTAAAAATATTATTAGTAGTGTTGTTGAATAAATGAACAATTGAATACCATTCCTGACCTCATAAGATCATTCGCTGTTTTAGGTATTGTTCGTTTTCATGCTGTGCTGTGTTTTGTAGACTGTTGTTCGTCTGTTGGACTTCTATTTTATTTTGTTCATGGTTTTGTCTAAGTTTCTTTGATTCATGGTTTGAGATTATCCCTTTGGTATCATTTTTCTTTTAAAGACATTAAGTTGCAGTAATGAAAATCGCCTTACAGAAAACTACAGAAGATTAAACGCAATAAGACAAATATCCGTGAAAATAAGTTAATTTGCTGATGGTGTTATATATTACCAATTTGTTATCATGATACATTTTACCACAATTTTTAAAACTTTCATTACTAAAAGAGAGTAGAAAGATATCAAAGAGATTCAACTCATAATTTGAAAACAAACTGACATAGCCAGAGCAAAACACAAAAAAATAACCAAAAGACAAGCAACAGTATACAAAACACAACATATAAGACTAAATATTGAGCAACAAAGACCTAGCAAAAAACTAGGGGTGGTTACGTCGATTGGAACATATCTGTTGTCATCTGTGAATCAGATATTCCATAACGGTTGACCAACTCGTAATGGCGTCCATAAAATTTTCAAAGGGATGATTTCAACTTGGCATTTTGAACTCTGGTTTAGTAGCTTCCTTGTGAGTAGCAACCCACTATCAAGAAAATCATGAAAGTAAATGCAAGCTCTGGAATATTGTATAAACTTGGAGAAATATACTCTTATATATAGGCATTGCTGCCAGGAATGTTGCTACACATGTACATAGAAATGGAAAATTCACAATTGGGAAGCTGAAATCATCTCTTTTTCCGTAAAATTTGTTCTAAACTGCCCCTAATCGTCGATTTCTAGATGTAAGTCAAACTATGTGGTAGAGTTCACTGTATCTGTTGTGTCTTTTATTTTTAATTTCGATGGGATATATATATATACGAATTCACCATTATCAATTACTTTGCATTATTCAGTGAGAGGACATCATATATCTAGTGGAAAGTGAAGTTTGAAGATAATTGTTGCTCCTTTTCCTTCTTCATAAGAAGCTCTTTCATGAAGTTAGCCTGGTGTGAATAAAGGAACAAGTCATTCAAGCTATTTAGGAAGTCTATATATATATATATATAGCTAGTTGTAATTAGAATCATTGCAAGTTGATGGAATTTTTCAATAAAATTATATTTTTTCGATGAATTTATTAATTTAAACAATGAACAATGCAGTTTAAGCAGCCAAGAAGACAAGTTTTCTAATACATATTCTGGTATTTGAATTCTTTGAAATTTCAATTTTCAATTTTCATTAATTTATTTTGTATTTATTTTTGTCTAAATTTTCATTTTCTTTTTTATGGTTGACATTATATAAATAAAAGGTCTTTTCACTACATCAATGTTTATAATGAAGTTACAAATCAAACAATAAGAAAAGTCGAAAGATGTTTATTTCAGTCTGGCAGATACAATGCACATTACAACAGTTTCGCCCCCTTAAATTCAAGCAATAGTATGTTGCTTGCATATATTTTTTTACTTTAAATTTTTCACATTCTTAAGAATTTGTTTCTCCAATCTTACATTGACCACATACAATGTTTAAAAAAGAAGACGTGCTAAAAAACTGTGTTTCCGCAGATGGCGGTATTTTTGGCAACTGTATGAGTTGTTATGATTTGCTGTTTGATTTCACGTAAGCATAATTATAGGAAAATGATACTTATTACAGGGTTTCACTTAGTTTTGAGTAATTAGCAGTTGCATCAGAAACAAAAAATTTAATTTTCACTCATTTTGTTAACTTAATTCGAATTTCAGGAAACATGTGCTGTCTAGCAAAAACATGCTTTTAATACGCAAAAACGCGTTTGATAAATGACCGTTAATCTCTCTGCTAAAAGTTTAAATTGAATTAATTATATAGAAGTCAGAATATGCAATCAAGCTGACATCTTCGAAAATATGCACTTATTCGTCTTTGACCTTTGATCTTAATTTGACGGAAATTGCACCGTACGAATTTGTTACGACTGGGCAAAATAGATAGTACAGATGTTCAGCTTTCGAATGATATATAATTTAGCCGTGTGTTAGGTGGGTGCATTTAAAATCTAATTTTATGGTTAAAGTTACTCCACTATCAGCTATGACAGCTGAGATGAAATTTTGCATGAACAACATTTTCAAGTTAAATATATGACCTGTTTACTTATTCATCTACATAACACCAAAAATGTTAATAAATATACTTTATTTCTTCAATTCATGGTTATAATCTATACAAGGTGTTTTTTTTGTTTTGTTTCCTTTTTCAATAACTATGTCGGGCATACCTGCCAACTTTCCTGATTTAGGCGTGAACTACACAATTTTGACTCCTTGTCAGGATTGCACGATCGTGATTGTGAAAAAAGCTCTAAAACACGATTTTGTGAAGTACTACATGAAAAATGATTGTTTCTGATTTTGAACTTTTACCAAGGGAGACAACCGTGGTCAGCCAATCAAAATCATTATTTCTCCTGATCTTTGTGCATTGCAAAATGCAAACATGCAAAATTTTGAACTAGTTTGGAACATTTGAGTTGTATTCCACTGTCTGTATGTCAGAATTGAAAAAGAATGGTGATCATGGCAGATGAATTTTCATCTGCAAGAAGGTTTTCACACGTACAGCTTAAGAGGAAAAGCATGACTGATTGATAAAATTCAAAGACGTAGTACTACCATAAACATAATAAATAGTAGCTAATGGACATTACACTTATGGTAACAGATCATACATGTTGTCATTCTTGTTATTAAATCTTTTATTTTTCACAAGGAATCAGATGTATTTCCTTCTTTGTGCATATTTTTGAATTTGAAAAGTCACCAATCACTTTAATATTCCTATGGCTATACAAGAAAATATATCCTGGTATTATAGCTACATGTTTAATTTTTTCTTCACAATAATATAAGTACTAGAATCATGCAAATAAAAAGAAGAAAAGCTTATAAGCTCATCATCACATACCAAATAAAAAAAGATATGACACTTTTTCTAGAGCACAAAACAGCGCGCGCAAAAAACGCCACAAAAATTTGTAACCTTTGAACTTGTTGTCATGCACAAAACCCCATGGAGATTTTCAAAGGTTGGCAGGTATGGTCAGGCTATGAATCTCATAACTCATAACATTCCATGAACATGATGAATGTATTTTGATTTTGTCGTGAGTCTCACACTAAGCATCGTACAGATCACCAGAAGAAATCGAAAAGTTGATTGAACTTGATGTGCAAAATGAAGATTCATTGCCGAGTGAACTTGGTCGTAAAAATTGAAAATCTTTCATCCAATCTGCTTGATATTTGCAGTTATAACTGTAAATAATATTTCTTCTTTTTAACACTGCCACTTGGTCCATAAAGACCTCCAGCTATCTTGTTAGAGTTGACATAGCAGAAATGAATTTCGATTAGGCCCAACTTACATGACTTATAAATCAAACAAAACAACTACTGACCAAAGTTTTCAAATGATGGCTGTTTGTTTGTTTATTATAATTACTATTGACAGTAATGAAAAACCAGAGAATGACGAATTTCAAGGTAAAAATATCAGAATGAGGTAGATTCTATACTCCTGCGAGGGAGCAGACTAACAAGCAGGAGATTTCAGTAACTTTGTCGTTTGCGCGGGAGGGTTGGCAGGAATGGTGTTATGTTTTCCTGTTGACTGTTACCATGTGAACTTGCACATGTTGCACTTTAGTCCAAATAGTTATGAGGTCTTGAAAGACTATTTTATTATTTTTCTGTGACACCTTCCTACAACAGGAAGGCGTCAAAGCAAAAAAATTAAAAAGCCTTTTGAGGTCATAATTATATGGACTAGTTGCACGTTAAGTTCAAAGCAGTATTCATGGTACACATGGATATATATTTATATCACAGTACAAAGATTGTCAAAGAACTCCCAAAAGCTCTCCAAAAAAATGGTCATTCTTCTGGACTTCTCCAAAGCATTCAACATGTTCGACAAGGTACCACATAGAAGACTTATGCATAAATTACATCACTATGGAATACAGGGTATTGTTCATAGCTGGATTAAAGATTTTCTACACAATAGAACACAGCACGTCTTCCTCCAAAACTGAAGATCAAACACTGCACCTGTCCAATTTGGAGTTCCCCAGGGCAGCATCCTGGGCCCCACCCTATTCCTACTATACATTAACGACCTACCAGATAACACAGCCACCAAATCATCAGTTATTAGACTATTTGTCGATGATTGCTTCCTGTAAAGGCAAATAAAAAAACAACACAGACACAGACATACTTTGAGAAGATCTGGAGACCCTACAAGCATGGGAGAATGACTGCCAGTCTGGCTTATGGAATTCCATCCCAACAAATGCCAAGTCATACACATTACCAACCAGAGAAAACCTATAAGACAACCATATAACATCCATGGCCACATCTTAGAGGAAGTTGAATCCACAAAATATCTGGGAGCAAACATCCACCACAAACTGAACTGAAGTACCTACGTACATAGACCAAGTTGTGAGGAAAGCCAACAACACCAGGGCTGTAGTGCAGAGAAACATACATCAATGCACACGCAAGACCAAGAAACTCTGCTATAAGACCCTTGTGAGACCACAGATGGAGTATGCCAGCATCATACAGGACCAAATCACTGCCAACAACATTCATAACCTGGAAATGGTACAACATAGGGTGGCAATATTTTTTACGGGTGACTATATATATATATATATATATATACAAGTCTAAATTGAAAACAACGTTCAAACCTATGATTGCGTTGGATAAAAACCGCAATTTTTATATGTGTGCATGCAAAAACAAATTTCTTGTTAGAGGGGTCTAAATACAGCACAAACAACATTTTCCAAAAGACAATATATATATATATATATAGCTATCACCAGTGTATTAAACAAACCTTTTACACCAACTGCAGGGCCAAGTTGAACCCTACAAGAACGCAGAGCTATGAATAAAGTCATAATGATGTATCTCATAGTCAACCACCTGGTTGCATTACCAACATCTTGCTTAATTCCAGCAGCAGCAGCAACCTTAAGAAGACACAACCATAGATTCCTGGTTCCATTTGCAAGAATGCAGCATACCAGGACTCATTTGTCCCAGACACCATCAGATTATGGAACAGCCTGATATCAACCACTGTAGCCTGTAACTCAATCAGCACCTTCAAGTGTGAGTTGCAGAAGACATTTCGAAATATTGTGTTTATAAGAACTGTTTGCAAGATTTTAATTGTTTATGCTGGTTTTTAACTGCATTGTAAATATAGGTTTGTCTGCACATCACATCTGTTCGAAAATACACCAGATGGTTGACCATACTGCAAACGCAAAATGAAGAGGCGGAAAATCAATTTGAACCAGAGAACAGATAGATATTATCCTAAAACTTACTGAATATGGAGTAATATTGCTCTTATAGATTAAATCTATAATTTTAAGATATATATGTCATTTTTACCTTGCCTTTTGTAGTGTACTTATGTAGTTTTATATTTTCCTACTTAAAATAAATAATTATTTTATAGTTTAAAATTTAAAACATATAGATAATTATTATTAATAGTGATTTACCTTTTTAAATAATTATGTCCACCATATTGTTATACAAGAAACTTACATACAAGATACACAAATTGAATTCCTGAAGTTAAATTTCTACTTTTATCAAGTAGAAATGACAAATATCTCAAATTTATAGTCTTTATTGTCATTAAAAGCAGCATTTAAAACACCTTTTAAAATCAAGTTTTTTGGTCAATATTTTTTGGATTTTAAGGTCATATTAAGTTTTTATGTTCTGGGGAAATTTTGTACCCTGAAGTAATCAAACTACTGTATCAATAGCCTGTCAACACTGAGGTTGTGAGTTCGAATTCTGCACATGGCAGACTTCAATCTTAATTGATTAGGATTGTCAAAGGTTGGTGGATCTCTCTCATCACTCCAGCTTCCTTCACCATTAAAAACTGATGGTCACAAAATAGGGCAATAGTGGCATTAAACACTACTCAATCAATCAATAATTCGTAACTTGGATGTCAAATATGATATTCTACTGATCGAGGTAGAGAAGGGGGAGGGTTGAGATCTTAAAAAAAAAATAGTTTTGCCTCTCCACAATTTCACCAACTTGTCAAAATTCATGATCATTGTTCACCAGTTATCTAAAATTATATTGTGAAGGGAGTATTTAATTTAGTTTTGACAGCATTAGAAATGCAAATACTCATTATACTGAGTATAAGCTTTTTTAACTACAGGTATATCTACATGTATAAACTGTAAGTTGCTGTTGAGATTGGGTGATTTGAAGGCTTTGTCAAATTTAGCGCCGACAACTTCTTCTACAGGTGCATGATTTCAGTGAAAGAATGACTGATTATCATAATTAAAGTACCAGTCTTCAAGCTTCACCACAGGACCAGCAGCCCAGTCTTGTAAAATTGCTTTCAGGCCTGTAGAAATAATCTCTCCAGGCCAACAGAATGCAACTAAAATTTTCCAAAAATTGAGCTCAGGGCCTGTAGATTTAAAAGTTTATTGTAAAGACTGCAGTACTGTTAATTCAGAAATTGTTGCATGCATTTATTATTGCAATTTTGTAAGAAAGACAAAAATGCCAGATTAATTAGTTATTGCGATTTCAAGCATCTTAAAGATAAACATATTATACATTTTAAACATACATATGTCCATAGATACATGTCAAACACAAGTCATTTCATTCAATTTAAATAGATTCCTCTAATCACAGTTATGTTTTTAGAAATATCTAAATTGACAATGGAAGTGGGGAATGTGTGAAAGAGACATTGCACACTAGACTGTCCAGAGTATATGTGGTACATTGTAGGTTGTGCAATGTTCTAAAGCTCTTGATTTGATTTGTTCTCCTAGGTCTTTGTTTGGTTACATTTTGATCAGGATGGCAGTGCTTTTTACTACTTTACCTTAAAATTTATGACCTTTTTTTGTACTTTCATCTTTTTGCTTGTTTGAGAAATGTTTTCACATTTTACAGACATAAGAATTTATTTATTATCCAGCAAAAATTTTTGAAATCAATTTCAGTTTTCAAATAACATGATCCAGATTCTTGAAACTTTACAGAAAGTTTGTAACCTATAAAATTTGTTTGTCTCTCCCCCAATGAAAGGTGCAGAATGCGAGACATAGGGATGTTAAATCTGGTGGTTCTTTGGTCGATGTTAAGTTTTTGCAGTTTGGTCTGTTTCTCATATACTATAAGCAATAGGTCAACTATGTTTAGCAAATTGAATGATTGTAAGGAGTATATGTCTGTCTGACAGATTTTGTCTGACCTTGACCTAATTTGCATGGTTCATTGGTCAATGCTAAGGTTTTTGTGGTTTGGTCTATTTCTAAGTAATATATACTGTAAGCAAAACTTAAAGGTCACCTATTTATGGCAAATGGAATGATGGTTCATCTGTCCTTGACCCCATTTTCAGTGTTCATTGGTCAATGTATAGCAATATGTGAACTATATTTATCTTTTTTCATTCTGGATAATATAAGAATGTATATTGACTGTTTGCACAAAATACACAAATGTGTATTTTCAGTTATAGTAATTGTAACTTTGCTACAGCATATGTGTCCTTTTTCATTTCAGAAGTATAATGTTTACAGTTTAACCTAATCAAAAGATGGGAACAGCACTGAAGCTTGGCCATGTGTGTCAGTATGCTAGATGTACAGGAAGACGATTACTGAGCTCTACCCAAGGGACAACTGCCCTACCCTATGATGTAATAGTTGTTGGTGGGGGCCATGCAGGAACAGAAGCAGCATGTGCAGCAGCTAGAATGGGAGTGCAGACTTTACTAGTTACACATAAGTTTGAAACCATAGGTAAAGTATTATTTCATTAGATACAATGGCTGACTGCTGCATAGATTGCTTATTATGTGTACTGTAAACACACTCATTTTCAAGAATAAATCAAACTTTGATTTTCCATTGTATAATTATAGAGAATACATCAAGAAAATTTTAAAATCATGAAAGTTAATCCCCATGAAGTTGGCTAGAAAGGGCTCAAATAAGAAAATAGGTTGGTTTACAGTATTTTATGTTATTGTTTTAAAGAGAAATAATAGCTTATTACTTTTACCATTTCAGCAGGTTAGCAAAAAGGTACATGCATGCACAAATTATGCTAACACAAATGTGTTCACATAAGGGAGATAATTTGCACAAATATAATCAATTCAAGGAGATATTCATTTAGATATTGCTGAAAATTAACTAATTTTGCCTTCTTTTTTTTTTAAATGACAAGAAATAAAGAGTCTGCTGCCAATTTCTTTTTCTTTTCTAAAAGTTATTTATTGAAATAATGTCCCCTACCAAAAATTACCAAGAAATTGTAAATTTTCAACCTTGTATTCCTTTTAAATTAGTTTGGCTACATTTGTTCTTCAGCAATAGTAGATTTTTATGAGAAGACAAAATTTGAGATTGAACAAAATAAAAAAGGCAGTTACGCAATTAATTCAAATAACTTTCTTGTAACAAATAAATTACTAACTTTCATAAAATTTGAAAATATCACTTTTTTGAAAGTCAAAACTATGCAATGTCAGAATAAACATAAAACAAAAAACTTTTATCAAAAGCATGAAAAATCTGGTTTCAAAAAGAACTGACAGATAAAATAATTTGAACAATTTCAATGCCTCTAATTGTATTTTATGAATATTATATTATTTAGGTGAAATGTCTTGTAACCCATCATTTGGAGGAATAGGTAAAGGTCATCTGATGAAGGAAATAGATGCCTTGGATGGAGTTTGTGCCAGGATCTGTGGTATGTACATGTATATCAGAGTTCTTCTTGGAGTTTAAAAATACCAATTTATAAAGTTTTTCAAAAATAGATTGAACAGAACCAAAAAAAGGAAGTCAGACATTTCAGCATTTGAAGTCTTGATTTAAATAGTGGTAGAAATAGGACGCAGAAAATAGCAAAGGATTGGGTGTAATAAGGCTTACTAAACAAATTAAACACTAAATTTTCATTATTATTATATTATTGTAGCTTCCATCCTTTTATAAAATTTTGACTTTTATTTTAAAGTTTCATTTTATTTAAGTATTTACATTGACATACAAATGAAGAAATTTATGTTATGTTGTCTAACAATGAGAGTTGCTATATAAGGGGAGATAACTCTGACAGATTATTTTAATATTTTAAAAAGAATGCAAAGCAAATTTATTATCTATTTTGTTTAATATATATATATATATATATATGAACTGAAAACAAGCACTGTTATTTCCATTACCGGTACAAAGACCCTCCTGAAGCCTGGACATTCCCTTTTATATATCAGATTCTCACCATGATAGAAGTCATACTAGTCATGTATATACAATAAACAATATCTTGCACTTTTTCAGATAAATCAGGAATACAATATAGAATACTGAACAAAAAGAAGGGACCTGCTGTATGGGTAAGATAAACTGTCATGACAGGCGTACGGTCAGGTCTTAGTAATACACAAAGAGAAAAATCATTTTTACTGCTTTCAAGATATTTTATTTCAGATTTATGAAAATACATATTGAAATTGTTGTCAACTATTTCTGTTTTAAAAATATACATTGATTTTGCAATCACTGTTAACACCTTTTTTTATATATATATGTTTTGAGTTTGTCCCTCATTTAGGAAAGTTAAGTGTTTGAAATTAAATGTTGGTATTAAAAGAAAACATGATTTTACATACCAAAGGGAATGTTTTGCCAATGTCTATACGGTCAACAAGTGTCAAATTGTGGATGTTAATTGTTAAGCCTTCAACTTTATTTTGATGAATAAAAAAATAACCTTATGTGTTATAATTTCCATTTCTTCAAATGGAATTGTTAAACTGTCCTATATATATTTTAAGGGCCATAGAGCACAGATAGATAGAATGCTATACAAGAAACACTTTAATACTGTCTACCATATATTTTAAGGGACCTAGAGCACAGATAGATAGAATGCTATACAAGAAACATATACAAGAAGAGGTGAAGAGTACAGCAAACCTTGCTATAGAAGTATCACCAGTTGAAGATCTCATTTTGAAAACAACAACACATCCTAGTCATGATCTAATGAAGCAGGAATGTTGTGGTGTAAAGCTTGGTATAAATGATACTGACAATAGTATAGTTATGAATACATGGCAATTATTTGTCTGCATTTTTTTAAAACAAATTCTTTTCTGATATAGGGTAATATTTTGCACTCATCTGTGAAACTACAAATCTTTAAAGTTATTAATGGAAAGTAAATTAAATTTTTTTTTGCTAAATCAGTGAAATTATAAAGTGATACTTTTAAAATCTTACTTAAGATTTTTATTGCGATTCAAATGACATAGAAGTTAGTTTGTTTGTTCATGACACTGTTGGTTTTGAGATGAAAAAGTACCTTGACCAGATTGTTATGGACCATAAAATACAGGTGATGTTTTTAAAGACCCCTTTATTGTAGGTGATGGTAAAGAAATATATGGCAAAACTGTAATTCTAACAGCTGGCACATTTTTGAGAGGCAGTATAAATATTGGTTTAGATGTCATCCCAGCTGGCCGACTAGGAGATCAGCCTGCCATTGGTCTGGCTAAAAGTATTGAAAATGCAGGATTTACAATGGGTAGACTTAAAACAGGTACTGTAAAACTTCTTTAAGCACAAAACTGCTGTGGGTAACTTAATGTTAAAACAGTCACCAAATAGTGTGGGTTAAACTTGCTTTAATCTGAAACTAGCCAAAAAACAGAGGAACTAAGAAATCAGCCGTTCTGTTACTAATTTAAAAAAAAAGGAGTTTATTTTTTCAAGTATAATGCATTGTTTGTAAATAAGTTCAAACAACTTAATAGTCTTTGAACAGGTTATATTTAGCATACCTGCCAACCCTCCAATTTTGAGCGGGAGACTGCCGCACAAACGACTAAATTCTGAAAATCTCCCGTTTGCCAGTCCGCTCCCGCACGGGAGTATTAAATCTCTTGCTTTCGGATATTTTAAGCTGGTATGACCATCGTAGGTATTTTTCAAGATTTTTCATTACTGTCAATAAAAAGAAATAAACAATCAGCGATCACTTGAAAACTTTGCTCAGTAGTTTTTATGTTCGATTTATTAGTAATCGATGATCATTTCTGCTATGTCAACTCCAACAAGATAGAGGTCTTTGTCTTGACCAAGCAGCAGTTTAAAAAAGAAGAAATATAACTGCAAATGTTGAGCAGTTTTTATGAAAATTTTCCAAGTTCATTCGACACAATGTATCTTTATTGTGCATTTTATGTTCAATCAACTTTTCGGTTGCATCTGGTGGTCTGTACAAGGTTCAAAAGCATGCTTAGTGTGAAACTCACAACAAAATCAAAATATGGAATGTTATGAGACTCAGAGGCTTTGAAAAAGGAAAAAAAAACAACCTTGTATTGATTACATTCATCAGAAACATACAATACATTATATTATATGTCTCCGCAATCATGAATTCTTATTGGTGTTTTGTAGATGAATAAGTTTGTTTTTGTCTCTTTGACACATTCCCCATTTCCATTCTCAATTTTAAGTGTACAAGGTATATATTTAGCTTGAAAATGTCGTTCACTCAAAATCTTCTCCTCAGCTGTCATAGCTGAGGGGAAGATCTCCCTCTTTGAAGGTTTCAGAGGTTGACAGGTATGTATTGAGCATATTTTTAATGATTGTAGATTCATGATTATTAAAGGGGTAATACATTTAGTGGATAGCATTGGTGTTTAAAAGCATACAAATCCTTAAAGGCTTGTTGCATTTGTCAAAACCATGAAATCAAATATCCATGAAAATCCTGATTTCCTGATCTAAGAAAATACTAATTGTATAAAAATAAGGAAATGTGGTATGAATGTTGGTGATACAACTATCCACCAGATTCTTAATGACATGGATATATGCAATCAGTCCACAGTATGTAAAGTCTTAGGAAATAATGTTCATGTATTCAAAACATTAGAAATACTTGAGGTTTTGAGTTTGGCCCCCACTTGTGGCATGGTGCATTCAACTTGTATCTATATTGACTAGAATTGCCAGTGTTCCTGTCGAAGGTGCTGGTTTCCCTCTGATTACTCCTGGTCCTTTCTCAAATAAAAACTAGGCCCTATGAAATAAGTTAAGATTACTCAAAGTGGTGTTAAACGCCAACAATTTATCAAGCAAGCAAATTATAAGCTTTAGCAGATTTACTCCTAGGAACATTATTAGAACAATATGTTACCAGGTTCCCCTATGTAGAACAGACATAAGGAAAATGGGAATGGAATGCCTTACCATTTTCCACTATCACGGCCCCGTGTCTTGAATGCTTCAAGGCTCGGCTTACAAAATAGACAAAAACACTGTTTTCAAAGAGCACCTGTTTATAGGATTTTAACTTTCACAATACTGTATATATTTCAATTTTCTTTGGACTTCATGCACAACACAGTGGCAGAATAGTCAGACAGTTGATTGCGGCCACTTAACTGGAAGACTAAAAAAAGAAGGACTAGATTTGTGAGAATTTCTACGCTATTTACAAATTTACTGTCTCCTTTGTGACTTAACATAAGTTTTACTTTTAGGTACACCACCAAGACTAGATGGTAAGACAATTGATTTCTCCAAAACAGAAATAAAGTATGGCGATGATCCTCCAGAACCATTCTCCTTTATTAATGATCAAGTATGGATAAAGGTCAGTATAAAATATGGCGATGATCCTCCCCAACCATTCTCCTCTATTAATGATCAAGTGTATGGTTTAAGGTCAGTATAAAGTTTGGAGATGATCCTCCTCAACCATTCTCCTTTATTAATGATCAAGTATGGAGAAAGGTCAGTATAAAGTATGGTGATGATCCTCCAGAACCATTCTCCTTTATTAATGATCAAGTCTGGACAAAGGTCAGTATGGTGATGATCCTCCCCAACCATTCTCCTTTATTTATGATCAAGTATGGAGAAAGTTCAGTATAAAGTATGGCGATGATCCTCCAGAACCATTCTCCTTTATTAATGATCAAGTCTGGATAAAGGTCAGTATAAAGTATGGTGATGATCCTCCAGAACCATTCTCCTTTATTAATAATCAAGTCTGGATAAAGGTCAGTATAAAGTATGGCGATGATCCTCCCCAACCATTCTCCTTTATTAATGATCAAGTCTGGATAAAGGTCAGTATAAAGTATGGTGATGATCCTCCCCAACCATTCTCCTTTATTAATGATCAAGTCTGGATAAAGGTCAGTATAAAGTATGGTGATGATCCTCCCCAACCATTCTCCTTTATTAATGATCAAGTTTGGATAAAGGTCAGTATAAAGTATGGTGTTGATCCTCCCCAACCATTCTCCTTTATTAATGATCAAGTCTGGATAAAGGTCAGTATAAAGTATGGTGATGATCCTCCCCAACCATTCTCCTTTATTAATGATCAAGTTTGGATAAAGGTCAGTATAAAGTATGGTGATGATCCTCCCCAACCATTCTCCTTTATTAATGATCAAGTTTGGATAAAGGTCAGTATAAAGTATGGCGATGATCCTCCCCAACCATTCTCCTTTATTAATGATCAAGTCTGGATAAAGGTCAGTATAAAATATGGCGATGATCCTCCCCAACCATTCTCCTCTATTAATGATCAAGTGTATGGTTCAAGGTCAGTATAAAGTTTGGAGATGATCCTCCTCAACCATTCTCCTTTATTAATGATCAAGTATGGAGAAAGGTCAGTATAAAGTATGGTGATGATCCTCCAGAACCATTCTCCTTTATTAATGATCAAGTCTGGACAAAGGTCAGTATGGTGATGATCCTCCCCAACCATTCTCCTTTATTTATGATCAAGTATGGAGAAAGGTCAGTATAAAGTATGGCGATGATCCTCCAGAACCATTCTCCTTTATTAATGATCAAGTCTGGATAAAGGTCAGTATAAAGTATGGTGATGATCCTCCCCAACCATTCTCCTTTATTAATGATCAAGTTTGGATAAAGGTCAGTATAAAGTATGGTGATGATCCTCCCCAACCATTCTCCTTTATTAATGATCAAGTTTGGATAAAGGTCAGTATAAAGTATGGCGATGATCCTCCCCAACCATTCTCCTTTATTAATGATCAAGTCTGGATAAAGGTCAGTATAAAGTATGGCGATGATCCTCCCCAACCATTCTCCTTTATTAATGATCAAGTCTGGATAAAGGTCAGTATAAAGTATGGCGATGATCCTCCCCAACCATTCTCCTTTATTAATGATCAAGTCTGGATAAAGGTCAGTATAAAGTATGGTGATGATCCTCCCCAACCATTCTCCTTTATTAATGATCAAGTTTGGATAAAGGTCAGTATAAAGTATGGTGTTGATCCTCCCCAACCATTCTCCTTTATTAATGATCAAGTCTGGATAAAGGTCAGTATAAAGTATGGTGATGATCCTCCCCAACCATTCTCCTTTATTAATGATCAAGTTTGGATAAAGGTCAGTATAAAGTATGGTGATGATCCTCCCCAACCATTCTCCTTTATTAATGATCAAGTTTGGATAAAGGTCAGTATAAAGTATGGCGATGATCCTCCCCAACCATTCTCCTTTATTAATGATCAAGTCTGGATAAAGGTCAGTATAAAGTATGGCGATGATCCTCCCCAACCATTCTCCTTTATTAATGATCAAGTCTGGATAAAGGTCAGTATAAAGTATGGTGATGATCCTCCCCAACCATTCTCCTTTATTAATGATCAAGTCTGGATAAAGGTCAGTATAAAGTATGGCGATGATCCTCTTCAACCATTCTCCTTTATTAATGATCAAGTCTGGATAAAGGTCAGTATAAAGTATGGCGATGATCCTCCCCAACCATTCTCCTCTATTAATGATCAAGTCTGGATAAAGGTCAGTATAAAGTATGGCAATGATCCTCCCCAACCATTCTCCTTTATTAATGATCAAGTCTGGATAAAGGTCAGTATAAAGTATGGTGATGATCCTCCCAAACCATTCTCCTTTATTAATGATCAAGTCTGGATAAAGGTCAGTATAAAGTATGGTGATGATCCTCCCCAACCATTCTCCTCTATTAATGATCAAGTCTGGATAAAGGTCAGTATAAAGTATGGTGATGATCCTCCCCAACCATTCTCCTCTATTAATGATCAAGTCTGGATAAAGGTCAGTATAAAGTATGGCTATGATCCTCCCCAACCATTCTCCTTTATTAATGATCAAGTCTGGATAAAGGTCAGTATAAAGTATGGAGATGATCCTCCCCAACCATTCTCCTTTATTAATAATCAAGTCTGGATAAAGGTCAGTATAAAGTATGGTGATGATCCTCCCCAACCATTCTCCTTTATTAATGATCAAGTTTGGATAAAGGTCAGTATAAAGTATGGTGTTGATCCTCCCCAACCATTCTCCTTTATTAATGATCAAGTATTGATAAAGGTCAGTATAAAGTATGGTGATGATCCTCCCCAACCATTCTCCTTTATTAATGATCAAGTATGGATAAAGGTCAGTATAAAATATGGCGATGATCCTCCCCAACCATTCTCCTCTATTAATAATCAAGTGTATGGTTCAAGGTCAGTATAAAGTTTGGAGATGATACTCCTCAACCATTCTCCTTTATTAATGATCAAGTATGGAGAAAGGTCAGTATAAAGTATGGTGATGATCCTCCAGAACCATTCTCCTTTATTAATGATCAAGTCTGGACAAAGGTCAGTATGGTGATGATCCTCCCCAACCATTCTCCTTTATTTATGATCAAGTATGGAGAAAGGTCAGTATAAAGTATGGCGATGATCCTCCCCAACCATTTTCCTTTATTAATGATCAAGTTTGGATAAAGGTCAGTATAAAGTATGGTGATGATCCTCCAGAACCATTCTCCTTTATTAATAATCAAGTCTGGATAAAGGTCAGTATAAAGTATGGCGATGATCCTCCCCAACCATTCTCCTGTATTAATGATCAAGTCTGGATAAAGGTCAGTATAAAGTATGGTGATGATCCTCCCCAACCATTCTCCTTTATTAATGATCAAGTCTGGATAAAGGTCAGTATAAAGTATGGTGATGATCCTCCCCAACCATTCTCCTTTATTAATGATCAAGTTTGGATAAAGGTCAGTATAAAGTATGGTGTTGATCCTCCCCAACCATTCTCCTTTATTAATGATCAAGTCTGGATAAAGGTCAGTATAAAGTATGGTGATGATCCTCCCCAACCATTCTCCTTTATTAATGATCAAGTTTGGATAAAGGTCAGTATAAAGTATGGTGATGATCCTCCCCAACCATTCTCCTTTATTAATGATCAAGTTTGGATAAAGGTCAGTATAAAGTATGGCGATGATCCTCCCCAACCATTCTCCTTTATTAATGATCAAGTCTGGATAAAGGTCAGTATAAAGTATGGCGATGATCCTCCCCAACCATTCTCCTTTATTAATGATCAAGTCTGGATAAAGGTCAGTATAAAATATGGCGATGATCCTCCCCAACCATTCTCCTCTATTAATGATCAAGTGTATGGTTCAAGGTCAGTATAAAGTTTGGAGATGATCCTCTTCAACCATTCTCCTTTATTAATGATCAAGTATGGAGAAAGGTCAGTATAAAGTATGGTGATGATCCTCCAGAACCATTCTCCTTTATTAATGATCAAGTCTGGACAAAGGTCAGTATGGTGATGATCCTCCCCAACCATTCTCCTTTATTAATGATCAAGTTTGGATAAAGGTCAGTATAAAGTATGGTGATGATCCTCCCCAACCATTCTCCTTTATTAATGATCAAGTTTGGATAAAGGTCAGTATAAAGTATGGCGATGATCCTCCCCAACCATTCTCCTTTATTAATGATCAAGTCTGGATAAAGGTCAGTATAAAGTATGGCGATGATCCTCCCCAACCATTCTCCTTTATTAATGATCAAGTCTGGATAAAGGTCAGTATAAAGTATGGTGATGATCCTCCCCAACCATTCTCCTTTATTAATGATCAAGTCTGGATAAAGGTCAGTATAAAGTATGGCGATGATCCTCTTCAACCATTCTCCTTTATTAATGATCAAGTCTGGATAAAGGTCAGTATAAAGTATGGCGATGATCCTCCCCAACCATTCTCCTCTATTAATGATCAAGTCTGGATAAAGGTCAGTATAAAGTATGGCAATGATCCTCCCCAACCATTCTCCTTTATTAATGATCAAGTCTGGATAAAGGTCAGTATAAAGTATGGTGATGATCCTCCCAAACCATTCTCCTTTATTAATGATCAAGTCTGGATAAAGGTCAGTATAAAGTATGGTGATGATCCTCCCCAACTATTCTCCTCTATTAATGATCAAGTCTGGATAAAGGTCAGTATAAAGTATGGTGATGATCCTCCCCAACCATTCTCCTCTATTAATGATCAAGTCTGGATAAAGGTCAGTATAAAGTATGGTGTTGATCCTCCCCAACCATTCTCCTTTATTAATGATCAAGTCTGGATAAAGGTCAGTATAAAGTATGGTGATGATCCTCCCCAACCATTCTCCTTTATTAATGATCAAGTTTGGATAAAGGTCAGTATAAAGTATGGTGATGATCCTCCCCAACCATTCTCCTTTATTAATGATCAAGTTTGGATAAAGGTCAGTATAAAGTATGGCGATGATCCTCCCCAACCATTCTCCTTTATTAATGATCAAGTCTGGATAAAGGTCAGTATAAAGTATGGCGATGATCCTCCCCAACCATTCTCCTTTATTAATGATCAAGTCTGGATAAAGGTCAGTATAAAATATGGCGATGATCCTCCCCAACCATTCTCCTCTATTAATGATCAAGTGTATGGTTCAAGGTCAGTATAAAGTTTGGAGATGATACTCCTCAACCATTCTCCTTTATTAATGATCAAGTATGGAGAAAGGTCAGTATAAAGTATGGTGATGATCCTCCAGAACCATTCTCCTTTATTAATGATCAAGTCTGGACAAAGGTCAGTATGGTGATGATCCTCCCCAACCATTCTCCTTTATTTATGATCAAGTATGGAGAAAGGTCAGTATAAAGTATGGCGATGATCCTCCCCAACCATTCTCCTTTATTAATGATCAAGTCTGGATAAAGGTCAGTATAAAGTATGGTGATGATCCTCCAGAACCATTCTCCTTTATTAATAATCAAGTTTGGATAAAGGTCAGTATAAAGTATGGTGATGATCCTCCCCAACCATTCTCCTTTATTAATGATCAAGTTTGGATAAAGGTCAGTATAAAGTATGGTGATGATCCTCCCCAACCATTCTCCTTTATTAATGATCAATTTTGGATAAAGGTCAGTATAAAGTATGGCGATGATCCTCCCCAACCATTCTCCTTTATTAATGATCAAGTCTGGATAAAGGTCAGTATAAAGTATGGCGATGATCCTCCCCAACCATTCTCCTTTATTAATGATCAAGTATGGATAAAGGTCAGTATAAAGTATGGTGATGATCCTCCCCAACCATTCTCCTTTATTAATGATCAAGTATGGATAAAGGTCAGTATAAAGTATGGTGATGATCCTCCCCAACCATTCTCCTTTATTAATGATCAAGTATGGATAAAGGTCAGTATAAAGTATGGTGATGATCCTCCAGAACCATTCTTTATTAATGATCAAGTCTGGACAAAGGTCAGTATAAAGTATGGTGATGATCCTCCCCAACCATTCTCCTTTATTACTGATCAAGTATGGATAAAGGTCAGTATAAAGTATGGTGATGATCCTCCAGAACCATTCTCCTTTATTAATGATCAAGTATGGTTAAAGGTCAGTATAAAGTATGGTGATGATCCTCCCCAACCATTCTCCTTTATAAATGATCAAGTATGGATAAAGGTCAGTATAAAGTATGGAGATGATCCTCCCCAACCATTCTCCTTTATAAATGATCAAGTCTGGATAAAGGTCAGTATGGTGATGATCCTCCCCAACCCTTCTCCTTTATTACTGATCAAGTATGGATAAAGGTCAGTATAAAGTATGGCGATGATCCTCCCCAACCATTCTCCTTTATTAATGATCAAGTCTGGATAAAGGTCAGTATAAAGTATGGTGATGATCCTCCCCAACCATTCTCCTTTATAAATGATCAAGTATGGATAAAGGTCAGTATAAAGTATGGTGATGATCCTCCCCAACCATTCTCCTTTATAAATGATCAAGTCTGGATAAAGGTCAGTATAAAGTATGGTGATGATCCTCCAGAACCATTCTTTATTAATGATCAAGTCTGGTCAAAGGTCAGTATAAAGTATGGTGATGATCCTCCCCAACCATTCTCCTTTATTAATGATCAAGTGTGGTTAAAGGTCAGTATAAAGTATGGTGATGATCCTCCCCAACCATTCTCCTTTATAAATGATCAAGTCTGGATAAAGGTCAGTATAAAGTATGGCGATGATCCTCCCCAACCATTCTCCTTTATTAATGATCAAGTATGGATAAAGGTCAGTATAAAGTATGGTGATGATCCTCCCCAACCATTCTCCTTTATTAATGATCAAGTATGGATAAAGGTCAGTATAAAGTATGGTGATGATCCTCCCCAACCATTCTCCTTTATTAATGATCAAGTATGGATAAAGGTCAGTATAAAGTATGGTGATGATCCTCCAGAACCATTCTTTATTAATGATCAAGTCTGGACAAAGGTCAGTATAAAGTATGGTGATGATCCTCCCCAACCATTCTCCTTTATTACTGATCAAGTATGGATAAAGGTCAGTATAAAGTATGGTGATGAACCTCCAGAACCATTCTCCTTTATTAATGATCAAGTATGGTTAAAGGTCAGTATAAAGTATGGTGATGATCCTCCCCAACCATTCTCCTTTATAAATGATCAAGTATGGATAAAGGTCAGTATAAAGTATGGAGATGATCCTCCCCAACCATTCTCCTTTATAAATGATCAAGTCTGGATAAAGGTCAGTATGGTGATGATCCTCCCCAACCCTTCTCCTTTATTACTGATCAAGTATGGATAAAGGTCAGTATAAAGTATGGCGATGATCCTCCCCAACCATTCTCCTTTATTAATGATCAAGTCTGGATAAAGGTCAGTATAAAGTATGGTGATGATCCTCCCCAACCATTCTCCTTTATAAATGATCAAGTATGGATAAAGGTCAGTATAAAGTATGGTGATGATCCTCCCCAACCATTCTCCTTTATAAATGATCAAGTCTGGATAAAGGTCAGTATAAAGTATGGTGATGATCCTCCAGAACCATTCTTTATTAATGATCAAGTCTGGTCAAAGGTCAGTATAAAGTATGGTGATGATCCTCCCCAACCATTCTCCTTTATTAATGATCAAGTGTGGTTAAAGGTCAGTATAAAGTATGGTGATGATCCTCCCCAACCATTCTCCTTTATAAATGATCAAGTATGGATAAAGGTCAGTATAAAGTATGGAGATGATCCTCCCCAACCATTCTCCTTTATTAATGATCAAGTCTGGATAAAGGTCAGTATAAAGTATGGTGATGATCCTCCCCAACCATTCTCCTTTATAAATGATCAAGTATGGATAAAGGTCAGTATAAAGTATGGTGATGATCCTCCCCAACCATTCTCCTTTATAAATGATCAAGTCTGGATAAAGGTCAGTATAAAGTATGGTGATGATCCTCCAGAACCATTCTTTATTAATGATCAAGTCTGGTCAAAGGTCAGTATAAAGTATGGTGATGATCCTCCCCAACCATTCTCCTTTATAAATGATCAAGTTTGGATAAAGGTCAGTATAAAGTATGGTGATGATCCTCCCCAACCATTCTCCTTTATAAATGATCAAGTTTGGATAAAGGTCAGTATAAAGTATGGTGATGATCCTCCCCAACCATTCTCCTTTATTAATGATCAAGTCTGGATAAAGGTCAGTATAAAGTATGGTGATGATCCTCCCCAACCATTCTCCTTTATAAATGATCAAGTATGGATAAAGGTCAGTATAAAGTATGGTGATGATCCTCCCCAACCATTCTCCTTTATAAATGATCAAGTATGGATAAAGGTCAGTATAAAGTATGGTGATGATCCTCCAGAACCATTCTTTATTAATGATCAAGTCTGGTCAAAGGTCAGTATAAAGTATGGTGATGATCCTCCCCAACCATTCTCCTTTATTAATGATCAAGTGTGGTTAAAGGTCAGTATAAAGTATGGTGATGATCCTCCCCAACCATTCTCCTTTATAAATGATCAAGTATGGATAAAGGTCAGTATAAAGTATGGAGATGATCCTCCCCAACCATTCTCCTTTATTAATGATCAAGTCTGGACAAAGGTCAGTATAAAGTATGGCGATGATCCTCCCCAACCATTCTCCTTTATAAATAATCAAGTCTGGACAAAGGTCAGTATAAAGTATGGTGTTGATCCTCCCCAACCATTCTCCTTTATTAATGATCAAGTATGGATAAAGGTCAGTATAAAGTATGGAGATGATCCTCCCCAACCATTCTCCTTTATTAATGATCAAGTATGGATAAAGGTTTAGTATAAAGTATGGTGATGATCCTCCCCAACCATTCTCCTTTATTACTGATCAAGTATGGATAAAGGTCAGTATAAAGTATGGTGATGATCCTCCCCAACCATTCTCCTTTATTAATGATCAAGTATGGATAAAGGTTTAGTATAAAGTATGGCGATGATCCTCCCCAACCATTCTCCTTTATTAATGATCAAGTATGGATAAAGGTCAGTATAAAGTTTGGAGATGATCCTCCAGAACCATTCTCCTTTATTAATGATCAAGTCTGGACAAAGGTCAGTATAAAGTGTGGTGATGATCCTCCAGAACCATTCTCTTTTATTAATGATCAAGTATTGATAAAAGTCTGTTTAACCTAGTAGTAAGGCTTTTGAAATAGATCCATTTAAGAACCAAATCATGGCCATTTTGATATTTTATGATAAAGTTGAATTTCATATTTGGCCTAGAGTGAACTTTGTCCTTTACCTGCATGTTCCTTAGGGAACTTTGTTGATAAATTACTTCCGGGAATTTGATCCGTCATCAATCAAGGCAGCTGTTGCTAATTATAGCACTTAGGGTTAAAATGCAGTTTTTGGCTTATGTCTCCAAAACTTTATAGAAAGGTATTAACTGTGAACAGTCAATATGATCATCAGTAAAGCAATATGAAAATGCCACGCAACAGGATTTACAAATAAGCAAACAAAACTGACTACAAAAACATGCAAAAAAAGTAAAAATAATTTATAAAATATTGAAATTGCAAATTTTTACCATGTGAGTAATTCAGGCTCTTTGGAGCCTCTTATAATTGCTGTCACTTTGACATTTGGTAACTTGATTTTTATAATAGATAGGAAAGAAATATTATATTGAATAATAATTGCGATCATTTTCTGCTATAAATAGGCTAGCGATCAGGTGATATGTCACATGACAAGAACCAATGAAAAAGTAGATAAAATATGTATGGAGACTTTACATCTAAACAGACATGTACACGAGGAAGTAAATGGTCCAAGGTAACATTATGTGTTAGCTGTAGATGTGTGTGTGTGTTTGTGTTTTATTAACTTTTAACATTGTCTGTAGCTGTATTTTTCTGAACTTCAACTTAACGTCAGGCCAGTTATGAAACCAGATTAACAAGATTGAATCAGCATATGATTGGAATAAAGTCTGATGAATTAAAGCATAGCTAGAACCTTTGAAGGCACTTTGAAAATGGGATAACCACATGTAAGGTCCTTTCAAATTGTTAAAAAGGGTTTTCAGGTTATCATTTCATTAATACCCCCTTTATTCTGTCCTTGAGCTTCAAGTCTATTTCTAGCATAAAGGATTTCTTGCCAAAGGAGTAAGTTCACGAAGGCTTAAATTTGGCTCGAAGATTTTGATATTTTTTTTAATTTGGCCTAAATACAACAAATTGTGATGTAATTATAACTACAAAATAAATTCTTTTTGGCACATCTATACTACTAAAGGAAGAGACCAATTTCATTGAGCCACAACTCCTCTGAAACCATACAAAGTCAGAAATATTTGTGATATGACGTATGAATGTAGTGTTTTGTACTTCCTAAATTTGTCTTTGAAACAATCTTTTTTCCACAGAAAATGCCAATTTTCGAGAAAATATCTAAATTAGGAGACCGTTATCGATCTGTGTCTTATACGCTTTTGGGCATGCTCAGTCAACGTACTGCCCGCGAATTCTATATTAACTTATCTGTACACCGTATCTGTCAGGTGCACCACCAAACAGTGTATTTGGGATTTGCTATATAAGCGGGTCATTATACAGGGTTGACACTACTAAAGTCAATCATTGTCACATTGTTTCCTATTGTAGTATTTTATTCAGCATAACTTTATAAGATGACAATATGAATACTAAAAATCTAGACTTAAAATAAGGTGTAGGTACATTTCCAATTTGTTAGCCGACATGACGTAAAAACAGGAAATCAAAGAATTCAACTTTATATATAACTAATATAGGACAATGGTGTTGATTGAAAATTACACAATTCCAGACCCCTTTGTTTTCCAAATAATTAATATTATCAATAATTAATAAGTTCCAGGTCAATGGGTTCAAGCAGAAAGATTTTGAAAGCAGAGAAAACTCTGCATCTTATAATCAGCATGACTTTATCAGATGACAATAGCAATACTAAAAGTCCAGGCTAAAAATAAGGCTCATACATGATTAAATACTTTAATTCAGTCACAGACCCGCAATGTCGAGGGTGTGTTCTAGTCACATTTAAAATGATGAAGAAATGACCTCTAAAGTATGCATTATTTGTGTTGTAACGTCAGTTTTGGTCAAGTTTTCAATAATTCTTCTCAGTTTTAACATAATTTACTGTGGCCGCCACCCCTTATCCAGAAAGTTTTTGAGTCTAGGGATTAAATATCATCAATGGCAACTTTTGGCTACAGAATATTTTGAATCCTAGGTTCCTCAAGCTTTTAGTTTGGAAAAATGCACAAAATCATATTTTTTTGACAATACATCCAAAATGTGCTGACTTGGAAGCCTAAAATGAACTCAAATGAAGAGATATGTTTAATCTAGTTGTAAGGCTTTTGAAATAGATCCGTATTAGAACCAAATTATGGCAATTTTGATATTTTATGATAAAGTTGAAATCCATATTTGGCCTGAAGTGAACCTTGTCCTTTCTGTAAACTGGTTTAAAATAGAATAATGGGAAAAATTTAGCATACCTGTCAACCTCTGAAACTGAAAATGCAGGTCATGACCTGCATTGACAAAAAAAAATGTCAGGTCATAATGCGTACAAACTTTTTCGGTCCAATTTTAGTGTTGAGAGTTTTTTTTTATATACTATAACATATACATGTCCCACTGAGTTTCCTAAAAATGATCACTTTTGTATTTGTTAAGTATATAAATATTTATCATTAATTAAATATCTTTCTAAAGCAATGCCTTTTTATTGTTTTATTCACACTAGTTTACTTCTTTTTATTAATGAATGTCATAAACCCCGGCTATACATGTAATTAGAAATCAGTTATATCTAATGTGTTCCTATACACAGGAGGAAGATAAATAGAAAGAAGTTAGTGTGTTTCCTTTCAGTGTAATATCTAGAGCATATGGATTTGATTTAAAGCTTTTACATTTAAGTGATAACAAAATTATTCTTTCCAACAGAAATGTATTAAAAGGTTCAAATTGTTTTAAAATGATTTTTACAGGACTAAGGATATTTGCAAACGACAAATCTTTTTATCAGGACATAGAATTGTATGTCAAGCTTGACTGGCTTCAACTTTCTGGGGTACAATTAACAAACAATTCTCGAATTGTTACTCTTCAATCAAATGTAATGTTTTGATAGCTGTCATTGGCACAGTAAATAAGCAAATTCTAATTTCAATTGTTTGCCTTTTCAAAGGAAAAAAGCTGAGAAAACCGAAATATAGAAAAAAGAGGATGTGGTATGATTGCCAATGAGACAACTCTTCACAAGAGACCAAATGACACAGAAATTAACAACTATAGGTCACTGTATGGCCTTCATCAATGAGCAAAGCCCATACCGCATAGTCAGCTATAAAAGGCCCCGAAAAGACAAATGTAAAACAAACCAAATGAGAAAACTAATGGCCTAATTTATGTACAAAAAAATGAATGAAAAACAAATATGTAACACATCAACAAACGACAACCACTGAATTACAGGCTCCTGACTTGGGACAGGCACATACATACAGAATGTGGCGGGGTTAAACTAGTTTGAAGGCGCCAACCGTCCCCTAAGCTGGGACAGTGGTGTAACGGTACAACATAAGAACGAATTAAAAAAATCAGTTGAAAAAGGCTTAACTCATCAGATGGATACAAATAGAAATACATCTAACAAAAACACAGAGTGGACGTGGCCAGGTACTTGTACATCCCAACAACAAAAAGACACTAAGTACAGATCTGAGAGTACTCGCAGTTACTGACACCTAGTTCAAAGCCAATAATAACTAATAAAAAAATCATGCATCTAAGACTTAATTATCAATTATTACACATCCAACATCCAATGGATTTAGTGTAAAGACGTCATAAACAGAGAAAAACATGACCTTGTGCAATGCCAAATGCAAGATACAGGTACCAACAGATTGTAGATTCATGAATGTGCATATGTATATAACAATAATATTTAGTTAGCTTTTAATTTACTGATCACAAAATCAATATTAGTACCAATAAAAACAATATTCAAAGATCTAATTACAGTGTTGAATTGGTAACCTTTTAGAATAAGTTTATTTAAAGGATCGATAAGTTTACCAGGATCGTTTCTAAATTTCCGGGCATGGTAAACAACATCTCTGTAAGAATGAGGATGTGCTATCCCGTTTGAAATAAGTTTTCTACAAGTACAACCAAACTTCAAAACCAAATCTTTATATCTATGGAAGAATTTAGTAAAGGTTTTAAGTAATTTGTGGTAACGAAATCCCTGACTTAATAATTTACCAGTAATACATAGACATGTAGATTATGTTCGTTACAACAGACACGGCATAGCGAATGAGTAGTGATATATAAACACCGTAAGTTCCTTTGGGTAAATTTCGGCAGTATATTTAGAAAATTCTTGATTATTTAATGAAAGAATATCATCAAGATAACGGTTAGTGTTGTTGAATTTATCAATTAAATGTAATTTGGTTGGGTCTTTACTGAGTTTGGTCATTAACTGTGATTCATAACAGTACAAAAACAAATCTGCTATTGAAGGGGCGCAATTAGTGCCCATAGGAATACCTACAACCTGTCGATAAACTTTGTTGCCGAAACATACATAAATATTATCAAGGAGAAAATAAACAGCTTCAATCATCTCATCACACCTCCAGTAAGTAAATCTATCATATTCACTTTTCTCATTAGAGAAGAAGGCTTTAAATGAGTTGCAGCAAATATATTTACATTCAGATTTACCAAACGACCATGTCATTAAATAGGAAAACTTTTGTTTGATAAGATTGTGTGGAAGTGTAGTGTAAAGAGTTGAAAAGTCAAAACTGTCAACAGAATCAACAGGACCATCAAATGCACGCAATTTATCTAAAACATCCAAAGAATTTTTTACACTCCAAAAATAGTTAATTCCACTATTTTCATATATTTTATTACAAAAGTTAATGATAAGTTCTTTGATAGTAATTAAGGAACTAGTTAAAAGCACTGAAAGATTAGTTGTAGAACACTTACTAGAGGCCGAGATGAAACAATATTTTACTGATTTTTTGTGTAGTTTAGGTAACCAATATATTTGACTTCTAAATACCGGAAACAATACCAGTCAGAAATACAGGTGAAAACAGGTCATTTTCTGGAATCCCAGGTTATTTGAATACCCGGTGGGTATTTAAAAATCTTGTGTGAAGGGGGAAATTCTCGGGTGTGACCCGCAGAATACGGGTCAGTTGACAGCTATGATTTAGTGACATTTCGCTACATTGTAATATGTTTCTAGGAACTCTTGTTGTTACAGTAGTAAATTGTCAAGTGAAAATTAATAAATAAGTTAGCACAATCTGTAGATTGAAAAGTATCCAATATTTTTTGTATATACTAAAATAGCATGTTGGAAAACTATATTTTGGCTCTGCCTTGAATAAAGACTAATATTATTTAATTAAAAGACCATGATGCCTTAACCTGTCCCATACATGTAAACATATCCAAATAAAATAACCAAGCACCTGTTCTGATGGTTTTAAATGTTCAGTTGTTTAGTTGAAGATTTGTATTATCTTTCTTTGTTCATTTCTTGTTTCACAATCAAACCATGAATCTGTTTTCATTATACTTGACTAAATCAATTATTTAAAAGTATTAATAATTTAACATTTATAATGAAAATTGTGACAAATGGAATTTTTGTCTTTTTTTCACCGTTTCCTGAGTCTAGTTACAGGGGTTCCCTATATATAGCTAATTGGAAAAGAAAATGAAAGGAGTAACTTTCTC